TATTATTATTATTATTATTATTATTATTATTATTATTATTATTATTATTATTATTATTATTATTATTATTATTATTATTATTATTTGCTGTAACGTTATGTACGCTTGCTCTATATGTGGGAGTAGGAGTAACAAAATCTTGTCGTTAACTACAGGGCCCCACCAGAGCTAACGGCAGCCTTTCTTGCATCTTGCAGGAAGTTCGGGACTACAAAAAGAATAGCTGCGCCGTCCTGCCATCTCTCGTGGATCGCAAGCGACCAGCCGGAGTCGATGCTGTCGATGCGGCTGGCGGCTACGCTCGTGCACTGAGCTAGTTTGCGCAGTGCATTACTTTATAAGACGAGGTTCTTGGACCCTATAGCTTACGTCCAGAACATTACGTGTGATTTATAGATCTTGCTTGAATTTGCTGCGCGTTCGAGAATGTGTACACGTTTGCCCAATCTTTGCTTCGTCTTCTTCGCTCTTCTTTGCGATCTTATTGAGATTTTCGGCACGCAGCGCTTTTATGGCAGAAACTTTTACGAATGTCGGCAGCGCATAGTGTGTAGCTGGAGGGCTCCCGGCCACAGAACCGTACTCGGAAGTAGTTCTTGATGTTCGGCCCGATAGTGCGCGAAAATGCGAACGTTCAGTACCGTATAGTGTTGAAGGGAACACTCAAATGAGCACATTTCCTATGCTGGCCCCTTAATTGCAGGTGGAGTTTGATGTATTGTTTGTACATTGCACGCGTCAGGTACATCCGCACTTCACACCATCTGTTTAATAACCTCAGTGTTCCAAGCTTACATGCTAACACTAAAGCATTCAAAAAATCTTTCCTATACTACTATTGAGCTATGAAACACGGTGTCCGAAGAAAGAGTAAATGAGGAAGATTCCAATACTTTTATGCACATACTTTCATATTTTTCCGAACCCGCAATCTGCCATCATCACTCTGTTATTTCACGTACTATTCTTTTTTAAGAGCATTTGTATACCACCTGTTCTGCCTATTGCACTGGCATTGCTTCTCTTTTGAAAGAGAAATCATATAATCTAATATTTCGCAAATATTTGTTTTTTTTTCTAACATTGCATATTCATGATCACTGTTGTTATTGATGCCTTTTCTCCCCTTATGCATTAGTGACCATGCTGTTATTCATGTTTTTGTCTACAACTACCCCTTATTTATACCCTGAAAAAAGGCCTTTAGGGTACAATAAAGGATGATTATGATGATCCGTTCGTGGAGCCACAGTGGTGTGTAGTTTTTACTAGGTCACTTGACTCTTCTCGGTCACTTGTTAAGAGTGCTGTATTACGCATTTTAACGCAGACTCTAACCGTCCACGAAGCTCGAGTAGGGTCATTTTGCAACCGTGTTCAAGCACCGGTGTAGTTCATGGGTAGAGTACCACGCATGTCATGCGGAAGCCTTTGGTTTTATTCCCACTCTGTACTTGGCACTGCTCTTGTTGTTGTTGTTGTTTTAAACTTTACCCGGTAATGATTACAGGCACTGGTGGAGGCGGCGGTGGACAACTACTGATTCGTAATCGGCACTTGTTATCTCAAAACTGGTTTCGCTGTAAAACTCTACGTTTACTATCGGTGGTATTCTGTCCCCTAAGTTCGTCACTGCACTTCCAAAATGAGGTTTAGCGATACATGTATTTAGTCATTTGGTGGCTATACATTAGGTTGTAGTCACAGGAGTGTCGCACTAGAGTACTTGATGAAATAAAAAAAGATTACTATGTCAATGTAAATATATTCGTTCAATTTGTTGGTTCAGAACTCATCACCATATACGTGACAAATCCTATCTGATAAGCAGACCATTTGCTCTTTAACGATTATTAGCTTGTTTTTTTTTTCTCTAGTTCCAGCGTCAAGAAACCAGGTGGCAGGTCTCGATATTTTGCCACTCGGTGCTTCAAACAACCCGCTTTGTGGGTGAGCGCGTTCAGAGTGGGGAAAGCGTGACAGTGATGTTCAAATCGGCCTATGATCAAAGATTTTCGGGTTTGCAGTGATGTCATTCGGGTTTTTGGCATCATTCCTAGAAAGGAGAGAGAATGATAACTCGCTGATTTTGAGAATGTCTTGTAAAGTGCGGGCTGCTTGCCGCTCTGATGATGATGGCCTTTATGAATGACAGACACCTCACTTTGGGGCACTGGCGAAGAAACGAACAATGAGACTTAATCTATCACATATCAATGGTATACATATTGATTTTAAAAATTGTTACAATAAGTTATATCGACTAAATAAAAGATTTGCGATTAAAATCATCTTGATTAAATTAGGAATTTTGCTACAGTTGAAAAGAGATTCCGGTGACAACGGCCTAATTATTGTATGACTCGCGCCTTCTCAGGAGTCCCGAATAGCAATCAGCAGCGTGTTCTGGTCATGGTGAAACGAAAACATTGTGAAGCCCCTGTAAATCACATTCGTTATGCTACATTTTTCAGGCTACATCTAAACACTGCTTCTTTTATTTATTGGCAATGCCCACGGCCTACAGGTGGCACGCCGTGCAATCCAAGATGGCTGCGGAGGGATGATCAACCCGTGAACCCGCATAGAAAAAGATTGGAGGCACGGACGTACTGCCGGTGCCGCTTTCAGTGGATGATGAGCTCTTGATCGTCAAGTGAATGTATGTCGGACCAAAGTACTTTCCCAAACTATAAGAACTGTTCAATGTTCGCTACCTCATGTCATGCCGCAGTGTGAAGGGTGGTGGTGTCAGCTGGTCGTGCGTGTATCCACGATGCTTTGCGTAATCATGTGCGTGCTAGAGAAAACTGCGCGAACTATAATTCGCGTGTGAACTGAACGGCATTCCGAGATAATTTGTGCCGAGCCTGCCTAGCGAATTCGCCGCAGTATAGTAGGCCACTAGCGAGTACATAGCGCGCCGTCGCGGCTGCACAAGGCCGAATGTTTACCGTATCGTTTGCAAACATATTACGTCGTCGTCATTACTTGCACTGTAAGCATCATGCAGCTGCTTCTTCAACGGAATACAAGCATTTAACTTCCCCATTAAGTAGCGCTTGTGTCACAGCCATGATCAGACTCCAACAGTGCGTGGTTCGCTGCACTCGGATGCTGCGGGTTTCATCATCGTGATCGAAACAAGGATATTGAAACGAATACACGCGTACGCTTTTCGCAACGTCTAAAATTGTGAAAATTTGTTGAACAACAACGTCGTTCGGACGGCACCGGTGAAGTGCAGAAGAAGTTAGCGTGGGCGGTAGTCGTAACTGCGTATTTCATTGCTCTAACCATTTCGCTTCACTGGTCGAGTTCTAGCGTATTGGTGACATGTGGCATTTTGTAATATTCATTGTAATTGGGCTAAGTGAAATGCACAAGAAAAACTATGTTTTTATTTTGAGCTCGCCTGAAAAAATATTATACAGTAAATACAATCAAAGTGACTTACAAGCGTGAAAAAAAAAACATTAAAGCACGACGGAGTGGGAAGTGCAACTCGCCGCTCGTGAGCTAGCAGCTGACCATGCATCGTCAGTGTCACTATCAGCGCGTTGACAACCATCTACGTCCTGTGAAAAATCCTCGACGTCAAGATGGTTTCTTCGAACATCACTGCTGAAAGTAATTTGAGGAATTCTCTGCGCCGAACGACTTCGATAGCACCAACAACGCGTCATTGCACAACCTCAACACGGCGTCACTCACCACGTTTATCTAGAGGTGCGGAGGACATTTCGCTCCGATACCAGGCAAGAAGAAAAAAATCACTTGCAGTGTGCTGCCATCTATTAACGGCGCAGCGTAGGCCGAGGTTTGGAAGTGCAAATCGTGAGCCTGCGAAGATTGGTTGATATGTGGAATTCAACGTCCCAAAACCACCATATAATTATGAGAGACGCCGTAGTGGAGGGCTCCTGGAAATTTTGACCACCTGGGGTTTCTTTAACGTGCACCCTAATCTGAGCACACGGGCCTACAGCATTTCCGCCTCCACCGGAAATGCAGCCGCCGCAGTCGGTATTCGATCCCGCGACCTGCGGGTCAACAGCCGAATGCCTTAGCCACTGGACCACCGTGGCGGCGCGAGCCGTGCGCTACTTTCCGCTTGCAATGAATGTTATGGAATTCATACACAACAAAAGCACTGACGAACTGCTATACGCACGTAAAACAAGGTGAGTTTCAAGTGGAAAGGTTCGATGATAACATTTAACTATCTAACGTGTCTGCAGAAAATCTCGCGAAGCTGATATGAGTACTCTGCGCGCTATAATCAAAAGCGCGAGTTGCCACGTACTTTGACAAAAACTTCACCTCTCGCAAGAACGAATGAGATTTATCGTGTCATGGACGGTCCGGTATAATCACTGATGCACGCAACATACAAAGTGGTTTGTTTCGTTTTTTGCTAACGCGTTAACAGCGAGGCTAGCACCACCGAACAAGAGAGCGTTGGGAGCGTCTGCCTACTGATCATCCTTGAGAGGACGCTCTTGGTTTCCGCTAGGCGGTGCGACAGTCTATGAACATTTCGAATAAAATTTATTATTATTAGTCAATTCCTCCAAGCAAGCCTCATGCAATATTTCAAGGCTCTACTCAATCACACATTAGACTGCACATAAGCTATAACACAACCTACTGCACTAAAACTATGGAATACTACGCTACGCCACGCCACAACACTTGAAGAATGCCCCATTTGACTGCTACGTCTTCTTATTCTTGACTTCCGGACATAGCACGCACCTATTAGAAGCGATTGGCCAAGCGGAAGGCCAATTGTTCCCATAATTATTGCAATATGTAATTGTTAGGTCCACTTGTTCAATAATTCTAATTAATTGCGGATTCGAAGTCTTAATTACGAATAATGAACTATGTAACGCGCACCCAGTTCGGCAAGAGATTCCTCTAGTTCAGACATCTTCTTCGGAATTTGGCAGCAGTGGGCAGGTGGCAGTGGTGGAACTCGAGAACAAGGAGGAGCCATGGCTGACGACCTTCGCGTGTCCTTCCGTCCTGCGAATCAACCTGCCAATGACGCGCCTGCGCCTACTGGTACGTGGCACACGTTATTAGTATATTATCAAAAGGTCGTAGCGGTAGCGACCCATCTTTGATGGATATTGAACTTGCTGAGCTACCAACTTTGAACTCGCTTGGTCAATTCCGTGCTCAACGGTTGTGTAGTCCGCGATCTCCGACGCCAGCGTATAGCTCTCGCCGATCGGCCCGCCGTCCGCGATCACTTGACGCAGCATAGCTCTCGCCGATCGGTGTCCCGTCCTCGCACTCTTTCAGTGTCCCCCTCTTTCCTATCTCTTCTGTTTTCTTTCTGTCGCTCCTGTGCGGCGAGTGCTCTCTCTTCGCAGCGTCTATTCTCCCGGCAACCAGGTTAGTTGTTCAAAAAAATTTCTCCCGGCGGTCGCCTCCCATTGGCTCTCGTATGTCACGGGACTAACTGCCATGGGGAGAAAAGGAAACGCTGGCTACTGCCGGACAGACTGGGCATACGTAGCCTAGCGTACGTTAGATTAGGTTAGGTTAGGCTGCGGGACAGACTGGACAGACGTGGCCCAGCGTGCGTTGGGTTAGGTTAGGTTACGTTAGGTTACGTTGAATAAGTTGGGTTAAATTCTCCGGTTGCCGGGAAATTCACGCAAAAATATTATCCCGGCCATTAGTCACGTGACTTATGAGAGCCAATGGGAGGCGACTGCAGAGAGAAGTTTTTTTTTAATAAATTGTCCCGGTTGCCGGGAGAATAGACACAATCCTCTCTCTTATTCATCTTCCTGCTATTCCTGTTAGATCCTTCTCTCATCGCCACCAAGGCACTGCGCCGTGTCGCCAATTTAGGCCGACAGAAATTAATTCCTTTTTCCTTTTATTCGATAAATATTCTGCCACTACTACTAACAACCTTCGTAAAAGTACAGCCCCATGACAGCCCTCACCATTTAGGTGCAAAAGGCCTCGTTCGCACAACTGATCCTTGTAACTTAGAGTAACAGACAACATGGCCGTCCGTCATACTGTGCTAATCGTTTGACCTTTATTAAGCTAAGTTTCTCACCTCTCAGCAGAACGATTCAGGTTTTCAGGCGAGGATCGCGTTGTTCTATGAGACGAGACAAGGTTTTCTAGCAGCTACGAGCGGAGTCGATTTGTTTTCTAGGATCGTTCTCTCCCGTGCTCGTAAATGAGGCGCCTTGTTGTACACGCTTCGCGTAAAGGGGCTTTAGTTTCGCGCCCATATCAGCGCCCTCTATGCTTACTTAATGAAACAGAGATACTACTCTGAACAGACGTAATTGAACTGGTGTATTGCTAGCGTTGCTCGAATAACAAATTTGTCATATCTATTCGAATATGAATATGCAAGAAAAAATACTTCCTACAAAGAATCGAATATATAATCAAACATCGAAGAGTATTCGGCTCGGTAATCGAATACAATGTACAATCTAACGTAAAATCAACTTTGTGATTCAGTATGAAATCAAAATATCGTAACACGTCAAGGTATAGTGCATAATTTGGTTGGTATAAGTGAACCGATTGCAAATTTAGTAGTAATGACAACATAACAAGTAGGTTTACCAATAAGAAACAACCTGGCTTGACTGTGCAATCGCCAATAAGCTCAGCTCGAAACACGAGTTTGCTTTCTTAAAAATGACACCCAGCGTTGACATCGGCTGAAATCTTCGTACATCTGATTTTTCTATGTGCGTGTGCGGAGGAGAGTCTTTGTGTGTGTGCGTGCGTATGTGTGTGTATTTTCTTTATACCACGTATCTTATTTGAACATTGCTGTAACAGTACGCTCAAACCTCATATTGTTTGTGATAGAGGGTTGCAGTTACCTAAAACTACACGAAAATATAGGTTGCTAATTGCAGCTTGGCATTGTCCTGCAATCAAGAGCGCTTGCTCCACCGTGTTTATCTACGACCACAATAAATCTTTTTAAGTCCTATCCTAAACTATATAGCGTTTCGGGATCACGCTCCGTTGTAACAGTGAGCGTGAAGATGCGACGAGCTAGAATCAGTAGCATTGCCAAGTAACACACTTTCATTACTTGGTAGTTTGTTAAGGAGCTTGAAAGATGCGCTGTGAGCTTACAAAGTGTGACTTGAAGTAGCAGTCATGGCTTCACCTTTGCTGAAAACGTCCTGCCTGTTATTGCACCTAAGCTATGCAGAAAAACACGAACTATAATTGTGTCCTGGAATGCATGGACAGTCCCTGCACCAGTGTTCCCGCGCTAAATTTCCGGCGAGGCCAAATATGTTGAGACGTCATTTCGACTTCAGTTAGCCATCCAAATCATTTTCGTGAACAGTTATCTCTAGGTAGCTCATTTTACAACTAAGGCGTATACGTATTTTTTTCACTTCAAATAAAACGAAGAGGCGGGCTAGTTTGTACTGATTCACAATGACGTAAGAGTAGCGCAAAAAAGACGGAGAGCGAGAAAATGAACACCACGCATTTCTGGACTGCGCTACGCTACGTTTGCTCTCAATATCCTGTTTGTTAATTACTCAGCTATTTTGGGTAAAATAACCTGCTGGAAACCAATATTGCTGTGGGAATATACGCGCGAAAAAAATTCAGCCGCACACGCAAGGAAATGGTGCGTATCACTGAAGGCATGAACTGACATATCGCCATCAAGGTAAAGTGGCCGAGATCGTGCAGTCCAGGCATACAAAAAAGAAAACAAAAAAGGAGCCCCTCCCATGTGCCACCCGTCATGCACATCGACCATGTTGCGATGTGATCCAGTTACGCGATCACTGAGCGGTAATCGCGCAACGTGGTAGCTCGAGTATTCGGTGTTCAGTGAACGGTAGCAAGTTTGAACGCGATGTAAACACCGGTTCGCAAACTTTAAATCCACTGAATTCTTTCGAGCAACGCTTTTTAAAGATCACCTGAAGGACCCAAGTGATGCATCTGTGATGAGAAGGGGAAGGTGATGCGCAGTCATTCGGCTCGTTAAGTGTGTAGACGACAATAAATACTAGCAAAAGAATACTAACAGAGTACAGGTTAGAAGTTTACTGGATGCATAATTTTGTTTTTCATCAAGCGGCAGCTTCTACTCGGCAACACACAAGGCGACGGCTACGGAAGACCAAGCACCCGGGAGGTACGCAAAGGATGTTTCGCCTTAAAAAGCATTTCGTAGTTCAAATTGTTCATTGCGTTTTCACTTGAAGCACCTCCAATCATAGGCATATAACTGTAAATCGTTGAATGTGTTGCTGAGAACTTGAGAAGTTGCCCTACTGCTTTGCTATTAGAGTTTGCAACGCTTGCATTGCTAACGATGGTGCGAAAACAATTGGTGCAATACGACATACCTCTCTCCCACAGCCAAGAATGACCAGGCAGGCAAGTCAGCGCCAGATCCTGCTCCCATTGTGGACTGCGCGAAAGATGCACCCCAGGTGAGTTATGTGGTCGCCGCGTTGATTCCAAATGCAACCAGGTAAACTCGAAACTTAACTCAATTCTCCTCACTTCGGAAAATGGGAAAAGAACTTGTCAGTGAAAACTTGAGGTTGTTTACTCGTGCAAACTGTGCAACACCTCAAGACTTCGAGCTGCGTGTTGGGCGTTTCATTCACTAGCTGGTTAATAATAATTACTGCTTATAACTGGTTGATCAATTGATTGATGGACTATTTGATAGATTGATCAATCGATTATCCATTTTTCGCGCACACATGAACAACCCCAATTTCTACCGGTTATGCCAGTTCAGGAGTGACTACTTCAAGTTTTCCTTTTGTCTACAGGTGATTAGGCAATTAAACTACCTACCTATAGAACTCCTTGCAATAATGAAAATAATGTTCTATCAGCAGATACACAATTTTGAATATTAGATACACAATTTTGAATATTAGATACACAATTTTGAATACTAGATACACAATTTTGAATACTAGATACACAATTTTGAATACTAGATACACAATTTTGAATACTAGATACACAATTTCGAATACTAGATACACAATTTTGAATACTAGATACACAATTTTGAATACTAGATACACAATTTTGAATATTAGATACACAATTTTGAATATTAGATACACAATTTTGAATATTAGATACACATTTTCAAATATCAGATACACATTTTCAAATATCAGATACACATTCTCAAATATCAGATACACATTTTCAAATATTAGATACCTAACTTTGATTAATAGATAGATAGATAGATAGATAGATAGATAGATAGATAGATAGATAGATAGATAGATAGATAGATAGATAGATAGATAGATAGATAGATAGATAGATAGATAGATAGATAGATAGATAGATAGATAGATAGATAGATAGATAGATAGATAGAGATAAAGACAGACAGACAGACAGACAGACAGACAGACAGACAGACAGACAGACAGACAGACAGACAGACAGACAGACAGACAGACAGACAGACAGACAGACAGACAGACAGACAGACAGACAGACAGACAGACAGACAGACAGACAGATAGATAGATAGATAGATAGATAGATAGATAGATAGATAGATAGATAGATAGATAGATAGATAGATAGATAGATAGATAGATAGATAGATAGATAGATAGATAGATAGATAGATAGATAGATAGATAGATAGATAGATAGATAGATAGATAGATAGATAGATAGATAGATAGATAGATAGATAGATAGATAGATAGATAGATAGATAGATAGATAGAAAAAGTGCTTGCTCAAATATTATTCGCCGTGCCAAAAGAAAGACCCCCAAGAATAATATGTGGGGTTTAACGTCCCCAAACCACCGTATGAACTTGAGAGACGCCATAGTGGAGAGCGCCGGAAGTTTTTACCCCCTAGGGATTTTCAATGTGCACCTAAATCTGAGCACACAGGCCTGTATACAGCATTTTCGCCTCCGTCTAAAATGCAGCCGCCACAGCCGAAATTCGATCCCGTGATCTGCGGGTCACCAGCCGAGTGCTTTAGCCACTACAACACTGCGGCGGGGCAGGAAGACGTCCAGGAAAGGGTAGCTTCGACAGTGGGTGCTTCTATGACAATGTTACAAAATAAAACTACAATGCTATGGTCAACTATTGGCGCATTTGTGTCGCCGTAAAGATTTTTTTTCTGCTTTCCTGTTATAGATACAGATCCGCACGTCTTTGTTTTCAAAGTATTTACTCTTATGTAAAAATTATTGTCGCCATATTTACAATGTTAGAGGCTTAGATCGCAGTTTCATCTGCCTATTTCTGGTGAATAGAACGCGCTTTTATAATGCCTAAACATCCGGCCTCCAACAATTCTTCACAAAATCGTACTGCAGCGTAATGAAATATGTGTTCAAAGACGTTTTTAAGAAGAGGTACCTACAGTTGTGATAAGTTTTACAGCTACTCTCTCGATCTCCAACTAAGGAATTGTCTTATCCATTCGTTCAGCCGATCAAGGTCTGATTTGAATAAGCGAATAAAGCACACCGATGTGATGGTAATTTCTGAGCCATGACAGTAGTGTACCCGGAAACTCCAACGCTTTTACGAGAAGTCAGACACCATCAAGTTCATCATTAACTCAATAACATAATGATCTAGGGATATAAAGGACCATTCAATCGCTAAATTGACGTTGTCTTATAGTAGTTGCGTCCTAGCTGACTTATCGTAACTGTTTCTTCAGAGCCCAGAACAAGTCTCTGGTGCCGTCACGCCTGGATCTGCCACATCGGCGTCCGAAGGAGCAGCCGAGGTCGGAGGTTCGGACGACAAACCCGAGCAGATTCACGACGACGTCCACAGAAGCCTGTACTTTCGGGACGGCGAGCGACGCATCGATTTCATACTCACCTACGAGAAACTCTATGATCACGTGCTGGAAAACCGCCGCGTCACCTTCGAGAGGAACCTGGTGAAGGAAGGACTAGAATTAGAACTAGAGGACTCCTCGGTAAGTTTTCGGACTGAGCACATAGCCAAGCTCAACTATTTTTTTTCTTGAAGAAGCAACGCACAGCGGGAGGCAAAACACGCGAAAATAAAAGGCGGAAATACAAGAGCTGTACTGCAGCTTGTGCACGGAGAGGGATACAAAACACGTGCGCATAAAAGACGTACACGCAAGCGCCGCACTTTACCTGATTCATCAGTTGCGGTACAGCGCTCGTATTTCCATCTCCTAGGCGTGCGCGTTTTGTATCCCTCTGTGAACTGCTTCTTCGAAAATCATACTTCATTTACTTGCCCGTCAGTACATATTAGGGTCAATTAACCTTTTTCGACACGGCAGCCCTCGTTTGCAGGCGCGATTCCCTTTCGCCGCTTCTGTACACTCTTGCCAAAGAAAGGACAACAAACACGGAGCTAATGCCTGAATTAATCATCCCTGTAGCCTGAAATTCTTTTTTGTTGTTGTTGTTGTACCTTCCATGCAGTTGAAATATCTTACAACACGCCATCGTTTCGGTGAAGCCCCGCCGCGGTGATCTAGCGGCTAAGGTACTCGGCTTCTGACCCGCAGGTCGCGGGAACGAATCCCGGCTTCGGCGGCGGCATTTTCGATGGAGGCGGAAACGTTGTAGACCCGTGTGCTCAGATTTGGGTGCACGTTAAAGAACTTCAGAAGGTCGAAATTTCCAGAGCTCTCCACTACGGCGTCTCTCATAATCATATGGTGGTTTTGGGACGTTCAATTCCAAATATCAATCAATCAATCAATCAATCGTTTCGGTGAAGGCAGTTACGTGCTTCACGAGAGGTGGGACGTGGGGCGTTCATGCGAGAATTTCAAGATTTTGTTTTTACCTTTTTAGGAATGCTCGCTGCTCGAAGGTAACTATCGCGTACGGGTAATTTAAATGAGCCATAGAATAACGTTTGCGAAGAAATATACCTTGGCCAGCGGAACCCAAATTTGATAGTTATTTACGCTCTAATTACAATTATTTTTCTATAAAGAACACTAGTTTATTCTAACGCCGGCCCTTTCTTTTATTTGGTCTTCAGAATATTGGCATCAAATGTGGCGTTTCTCGAATATATAGGCAGCCTGACATGTGTGTCCAGATGGTTAAACTAACCTAATAAGTTTTGTCAAGGGAGAGCACGGGAACATCTGGGGGTGCATGGGGTGATCATAAAGGAAAACTAGAGAGAAAAAATCGATCAGTTAAATTGACAAGTTCTGTGACAAGTACTTTAATGTAGTTAATTACACGATCATATGTTTAGCATACGAGACGAGAAAAGGAAGGTCACTTTTCTCATATCAAATTTTGCGCCAAAATCTGCATGCGTGACGTAAAAAAAAATAAAGTGTACATATCATTTCGCGTGATTGGCTCCACAGAATTCATTCAAACTTGGTACGTTATGTCTATGGCCACCTCAAAGGACATTTCGCTTTCTTTTATGCATTAGAAATGACGAGAGCTTCGGTATAGGCGCTGTCAAAATATGTGACAGCATAGTGCGGAAACTTCAAGGTGGCGTCACCACCCACAGTTTCTTTTTGAACGCCTTCTCGCTTACGAAGAGTGGTGTCTTCGGTTCCGTGAAAGAGATAATCAGTAATGGGGAAAAAATCGTTTCGTTCTTTAGTGTCCCTTTAAGGGGCTTCTCGCCAGATGGGGTGGGCATTTAATGTCGAGTAGCCTGACTCAAAGGTCCCTCAAGGGTCACAACACCAGTAAACTTTGGCACGATGGAGTGTCGCGAAAGCAGTTCAAATTTATAAGTGCAAGCCAGAAGCCCTCTCCTTAGGAGAGGCGTACTCGGAGAGAGAGTGAAAATCACGCTCTTGCGTGTTACGTCACAAGCCGTCCTTCGAACTTTAGTGACCCTGACCTATGGTTGCGGATGTTCATTTCTTTGGAAGCTGGAAACGTAGGAGCTAGAAAATGCCCCGAAGCCGATGATTGAGAAAACAAACAAAAGAACGGGAGGTAGAGCTCAACGCGTGATCACAAAGCACTCTCTCACATGAGATGAGGAAACGGTGCTGCTCGGTGAATATCCTATTTGAACGTGAAAATTCATCTTCGAATACGTACTTGTGGTTGAAATGGGCGTAGCAAGTTTAGAGCTCATAGATAGGCAGGAGTTCAAACGTATATGCAGTACTTCCGACAGACCAAAGTAAAGTAATCGTCAATGCAACAGCTCGAAATCAACTCGTAATGAAAGGACCGGGTTGAATGGCGGCACATAGGAGCAGCCTGTGGCTTCTCCTATGTGCCGCCATTCAACCCGGTTGTGGGCGTAGTCAGGCTGACGACGAGGACTACGATGATGATGATGATGATGACGATGATGATGATGATGACGATGATGATGATGATGATGACGACGACGACGACAACGACGACCACAATGATGATAAAGAGGGCCGACAAAGCGAAAGATGGTACGAACGGCCCTCCTGTCATCAATCCACTAAGTGCACGTTCTTTTCGGGATCTTGCGCATTTATTCTAAACAGATGTCAAACAGCAGACTTGCTGTTTTACTGGGACATCACACTCTTTTTCTATAAATAATACCACGTGTTAAGTATTACATTATCTTGTTCACGCTATGCGCACGCAGCGTATCGGTACGTTTCCGATTTCTGAAAAAGTGTGCTTTTAAATTTGTAATTTCATTGAACTGAGTCCTTTCAGTTTTTCTTTAAACAATTCAGTATATAGGTGAGCTCTTTCCACAAATAAAGTAGTAAGAAAACCCTAGGTACATCGCAAGGCAAAGACAATATTATGTAGTGCGCGGTAAAGCAGAGGTTGGGAGATACCTTAGCATACGGCTATGTATATGTTTCCTTTCTTTTCTAAACACGTTCGCCATTCATAGACATCTTGCGACGGCAAGACGAACTTCCTGAAGATCCACGCCCCATGGCCGGTGCTCATCAGTTATGCCGAGAAACTTCACCTGCGGATGCCCATCAAGGTACGCGTGCTCCTGTGCTTACCTTCCCCACCCCCCTTAACCTTTCTGCGCCAAAGATGGTTTTGCATTACTAGTTGCATCGGAGACATTGCAAGATTTGTTCATATCACCTGGTATAGCAGTGCCCTCTGACTAGGCCCACTATGACACTGTGGTCATGGTGGGATGACGTCATCGTGTGGAGTTACGTCATGGCATTGTTTTGAACATGTGGCTTCACTAACGGGAACTTAGAGCGCAAAAACAAGACATTCACAACAAAGAGAAAACAGGAGTGCCCATCCTGTCTTTTCATTACGGTGAATTTCTCGTCTTTGCGCTCAATATTCACGGTAGCTGTGCACTATCTCGCCGAGTTATATGTATTGTTAGACCAATGCTACTTCACGCCTGCAAATCTGAGACGTCATTTGGTGCCGTAGGTTGGCGTCATTGCATGTTGTTTCCCTCGTTCGTGTTGACGATGCCACTGACGATGACGTTTCGTGTTTTATGAGCCATTTAAGGCCTCAATCTTATTAGGCTTATTCTGTAATAAAAACTGTAGTGTTCTCTGTTGTGGTGTTGTCTGATATCACTTCAAGTATTGACGCATTACGGCCAAATTCAATGCTGCATTAGAGGGGGGAGAGCAATTATTCTTAACCTAACCACGTGTATAAAAGAGCCGTGCCATGCATCTCGGTCGCAAAATTAAAATGTGGATATTATATGAGTCTATACGTTAAATTCTTGTCACTAATTACTAGGAAGTCATTGGGTTGTGAACCAATGTTCGTGTTACCCGAATCGTCCTCTTTTGTACGCATCGCGCTATCGCTTGGAATATTTTAAACTAAGACTTGCCCGCTGTTTGAGTTGCCTGTTGCAAAAAAAAAAGGGGCAGAGTGTTCACTGTTTGACTTCCCTGTTGCAAAAAAAAAAGGGGCAGAGTGTTCACTGTTTGACTTCCCTGTTGCAGAAATGGGGCAGGGTTTTCACTGTTTGACTTGCCTGTTGCAGAAAAGTGGCAGTGCGTTCACTGTTTGACATGCCTGTTGCTGAAAAGGGGCAAGGTGTTCACTGTTTGACTTGCATGTTGCAGAAAAGGGGCAGGGTGGTGCAGTTCCCGACGGTGCATGTCGAGGAGGGTGAGTGTCCAGCCCTGCCAGACATTAAAAAGGTTAGTAACACGATGATTTTCCCGAATGTTCATAAACCTTCATTACTTAAAAAAGCAACGCAAGTGATGTTTAAGGTGAAGCTGAATTTGTATCCCCTCCCCTCTCCCCATGTTTCATTTTCGTGGCCATGGCTACTGCTGTTCTCCTTTGTTGCTGAATACGTCATGAAACTCGTGGATCAGCAGTTCTTGCCACACTAAACATACGAATGACAGGTGAACCCTTCTTACATTGCGTTATTTATGGTGAGCTAAGAGACTATCAAATATCTACTGTCTTATGTTCAAGTCACACTTATACAGTCTTAAATCCACTTCCAGTGTCTGCTTCTGCAAGATAGAAGTGGAAATTACAAGTTCTGAACGTCGTTTCTATCACGTAAATATGTTTAGTGCTTCACGTTGAGCTCTTCACACTGTCTGTGCCTTCCCCTTGCTATGTTACTGTACTACTGCGTAGGTATGAGAAATATGGAACACCGCACACGTATTTCCCGAGTTTAGACGCACCGATAACAGCACCTTCTTTACTATGGCCACCTGTGATAATCAACCTTGTAGAAAACAAAATATTGACAATTTTTCTCATTTCTAAATATTAGTATCTGGAAGCGGCAACTAAGCGAATCGAACAATCGGGCTGGTTGATTTCTAGCACATAGAATACATATATCTACCAATAGTTTGTAAAGGCACGCTTTTGAAAATAAAAGTTCACATCAGCAGCAAATTCGGCCCTGTTTTCGTGAGTGCACCTGGCTCTCTGACCAACACCTTTGTGCGCCATAAAATTTGTCAAAAACTCTGTTTGAAAACTTTTAAGATCTGCTTATATTCTGGCTGCTACACTCATTCAATGGCTGAGAGGGTGAGTAGATTTATAGCGGGTTTGAAAAATTACAGGCGAAACTATTTGTTGAATGCGCAACAAATTGGTCATTTGAATACTGACTTTCTTATCGGATTTTGCTGACTTTCTGCAACACAGCCGTTTTGGGGGCAACAAAAATTTGCGAGTTTGAACAATAATCGAAGAGCCTGGTTTACTCAATGAGGTCGTGGTCACAAAGTCATCGTTTAGCACTGGATGCACCCCTGCGCCATCACTTGCCACTAGTCCACTGCAGTAAAGCGGTGATTAGGAGGTTCGGCTGCTGACCCTAAGGTCGCATGTTCAATCCAGGGTGCAGCGTTGACATTTGAATGGAGGCGATATGGTAGAGGCCCGTCTACTGTGCAATGTCAGTGAACGTTTAAGGACGCCAGATGCTCGAAATTTTGGGAGTTCTTCCCAACGGCGTCTCTCAAAATGAAGTGTTTTTCTCATGGTGTTATTATTATTATTATTATTATTATTATTATTATTATTATTACTATTATTATTATTATTGTTGTTGTTGTTGTTGTTGATGTTGTTGTTGTTGTTGTCATTTGCCATTAGTTGCAACGAGCTGAATTGTTATTCAGCTGAATAATTCACTCTTGACGATTTTTTTAAACCCAAAACACAAGTGTTTTGTGAAACTGAGAATAAATTCATTGTGCGAAGCTTGATCCACATATAAATCTTTAGCTGCAAACGGCACCAGTCAGGTTGTTCGCCCATGCCCCTAGCACGCATTTCGATGTGATCGCAGCTCGAAGAAGGCTCGACCGAGATCGAGGTGGAAGCGAGACAAACGACAATGGACAACATGTGGACCAAACTGTGGATACCGTTTCCGTACGACAAAGCCCTCATACCGGACGAGAGGCAGTTCTTCACAGCCGAGTTTGTACGCCAGCGGGAGCCCATGTGAGCATCACTCATCGGAGACGCTTTTTAGCATGTCGCTTGCATCCACCTTGACACACCCACATGTATACAAGCGTAGCCTCCGTGATTAGCTGTCGCAAAGCGGAGCGTTGCCGGAGCTGATTTCGGAGGTCTCGATACAATGGTAGAAACACCATGACACTCTAAAAAGATAGCAGACACCCTAGTAGCTATGGAACAAATGGTGTTGCCGGAGTGGACCTTTCGACAAGTGCACTGGCCCTCCTAAAGGACTTGAAAAAGACAGTCCGGTTGCACCAAAGTTGTCTGATACGGTTAACGGGTTTAAAGGAGTTTGTTTTTTTTGTTTGTTTCATCTTGTTTGAACTTCTACCCCATGGTTTGGGCTTGTCTGGCAGATTCCTTTGATCACTGTAGCAAAGCAGTGCCCAGCCTTTACGCGTTCTGAACAGTACAACCACAACTATCGTGAGCACTCATCCTCAGCCCCCTCCCCAGAACTCACTCACACAAGATAGAAAGAGTGTAAGGCAGCGAAATAATGACCTCCCTAATATAGCGTTATACTATAAATCTTTTACCGAGACTACACTGGTTTAGTCTCGGTATAGTCTAGCTCTTTTGTCATTTTAGAACTTGTTCTAGTTCTGCACAAGCGAACTAGCTTGTTTCTTTTTAAAGATAGTTTTCTCCATAGAACCAATGAAGGCAGCATACAATAACCTCAAGTTTAGAAGCCACAAGAAATTAGTCTTGTGGAAAAGCAAATTGACATATGTTACAGCAAGAGCATGTAGACAACCCAAACCGAAGCTTGACTGATAGATGGTCCATAATTGACGACTATAGGGGAAAACTCTACTTCACACTCTGAAGGCGTTTGAGGAAAGAAAGGAAAAAGCTAGCATCCATGCCGGAACGGCTCAATGTGCCCGCGCAGTCATGCCGACATGGCATAAATTTTCCCACCAGATACCGGCTAGGTGCCTTAAGGTACGTTGCGTGACTTCACAGAAATACCTTACTTACTTAAACAAGTGAAAATCTCAACTTATCGGGCGTCCAACTCAGGGCATTCGCGACTGTCATTGAGCGCTCGCCTCCTAGCGGCTGCGCCTGGAAACGCCGCTAACAGGGTCTACCTTGGAAGGAGATATGTTACCACGTTGCGCACGTTGAGACGGTGCCACGTATATGTAGTTCCTGTTTTCTTCGCCATGCCCCACGCGCCAAGCCGAAAAAGAAGAAAGCCATATTTGGAGACCATTTTGGTGTTCGCAATGCGAGGCATCCTGGTGGAGAGATGGCAACGCATCGTTCAATCTCTTCTCGAAGGTTGCAGACGACGCGTGTCGAAGAATGGAGCAAATCAGAAACATACGCATTGGTAAGAAGGCGACGGACAATGCGGTGGTTTGGTCCAATCGATTCGCACGCGACGACTTGATTATTCTCGGTGAGTACATCATTATTTAGCGTATGTACACTATTATCGATATTCGGGCCTCTCAAAGCACCGAATATATATAGTTTCGTTTATATAAACGCTTTGGGAAATTCATTGCGTTACGTGTGTGAGTGTATTTTTCGCATATGCGCTCGTTTTCGTTTTCTGCGCAGTTCGTGCCGCTACCCATTGTTAAATTAAGGCTGCGGTAAGCCTTCCCACCGAACATTTTTTTTATTTCGTATGGGTGTACATATACACGCACAGAAACGCGCGCGCGAAGGATCGCGTGGGCGAGCATGTATGTTCGTGCGTATATATATATATATATATATATATATATATATATATATATATATATATATATATATATATATATATATATATATATATATATATATATATCACGTCTGTTCATTTGTAGTGTGCGTGCATATATTGGCTTTGAATATCAACTACTACCCACAAGAACAGGCGAGTGCTCGGAAGTAGAGGACCTTATTCATTGTAAGCCTAATAACATGACATGGTGAACAAAAAGAAGAGAGGAGCGCACTTCCCTTACAATTGAAACGACGATTTGATTTATCTCAAGATGCACTGGCCCCACCATAACATCTATTCTGTAATCAAAAGAACGGCCTTTGCATTCAGCTTTCCGACGGGACAAAAGAACTCATTGGGATGCACGCCAATGTCAGCACGAGCCGCAGTATATTACCTCTAAAACTGTTAAGGCCTTACTTGTAGCAGTGTAGCAATGCAGCGCAAAAGGGCTAGCACCTTTCGCAGAGGCCCGCTACCCATGGGCAGCTGCCTTTTTCAACCTTGGGCTTGCTTGACAGGTTCTTCAACTTGAAGCAAATTTGATGCAGTTCACCGAAGAGGCTCTATGTTTGCGCGCAAGGCGCAAGTATTTCCCCTATTTTCCCAGTGAAACCCTTTATGCGTGTGAGAATTAGGTGGTTTGCAGCCCTTTTGCTTCGGCGAAGTAACCCGATCCGACGCCACAATCAAGAAGCTTCCGCACAACGCCAAGCAAAAGTGCCGCGTTAAACCTGTTCAGCATAGCCATCTTTGTTTTTTTTTTCGGCCAGTGTTGCCAGCACATGGAGCGTTTTCTGGAGTGGCGAACAGCAAGACTGCTATACCTCATCTATTGGATTAAGAGCTTCTCGTTACTGTCCTTCTGGTCAGTTCAGCAGTCCGGATATCGTACTGACCAAAGCAGTTCTTACTGCTACCACCTCTGTGCAGGTACCTGATGCAGTACAAGGACACCGTCTTCTCGCAAGCCATTCGAAGTCGGATAGCGTGGGAAGTGCTCATGAGAGCTCCTTATGAAGACAAAGAATCTCACAGAGGTAAGCATACACTCCGTCAACCGGTCCATTTTTATTCGTGCACTTAAGAAGCCTCTTATGGTAGAACCATATATTTCGGTTGAATGCATCCCATAAGTTGAAAGAACAAAAGTATAATTTTCTACTGAAAATACTACAAGGAACATGGTAATTGAAGTTCGTTGGCTTCTGCTGACATGAACACAGGGTATTTCAGTCTGTTATGTGTCAAAAATGTAGCAATAAACTTGGCAAATGCATGTGCGTGCTTGAGCTAGGTACGGCGAAGACTAACGAAGGCGAGAGGGAGACTAATCAGTAATGAAATCCACAAACACCTTACGTGTAGTTTGTGTCTTAGTTCGTTATCAGTGTTGTTCTCGTTTCCGTAAGAGTGTACCGGCTAATTTACAAGGCCTCATTCAACAGTAGACGATGCTTCAAGTACGGCGATAGACAAAACATTCGAAGGCTTACAGCAACGAGTCTCTTCTCTTTTATGGTGAAAAAGAGACTACAAACCAGTCACTGGCCTTCAATTTTCACACCCTATATAGCTTTCTCCTTATACGTGGCTCTCTAACCATGCCACACGGCACCCGTGTCTGTAAATACGTCAAGATAGGGTATTAGAAAGGTACTCAACACCAGTGTGATTCCTTTACACGTGTTGCAAAACTTCCAATAAGCTTCATATATCCCAATTGGGACACGCTATTGGCCGAGATGGCGGAAGTGTGTAGATTGTTGCGTCGGCCGTTGATCAAAAACCAACTAATAAACACATTATTGTGTTTCGCATTGCCGCTCCCAGGTGGTGCGACCTTCTGCAATCCCTTGCAGGATCGATCAACTGCGTGTCCGGGTTTTCCAACGCAGTTTCGCAACTGGTGTAATTGATCAACTCTGTTCCACAATGTGTGGCATTGTACTCAAACACGCAGCCCGCGGTCTGCATTCAGCCGGCACATGACAGTACGGCCCGCACAGCATTCACTGGCGGTCCCACATGACAGTCTTCGTCACATATTTCTTTTATGACCTTGTGACTGTTTGTGATAGTGTTGAATAGTGGTTGCATTATTTTTTGTCTATGGTATTGTTAACGCTTTTTTCGGGTAATCTACGCGGAAATGACAGATTTTAGGCAATTTTTCAAGCTTCACATGCGGTCAGCTTGTCAGTCCTTGGGTAGATCTGGATACCTATATGCTTCGTGAAACCCGACACTTAATTCTACTTTGAGGTGTCCCATGTATAAACATTTAAAATGCCTTCTTTAACATGTCAACATTACATAAAATTTTGAACAACTTCACCCCCCGGTCCCTGCTCTCCGCTTGTTCACTGTTCTGGCTCTTTTGCGGAAATGAATTTCGTGACTGCTGACCAGTCAGTGTAGGAACAAAAATGTCACAATACATTTCTTTGTGTGTATTACATTAATTTTATTTATATAATTTGTACCTAAGTGTACACTGACCCTCAACTCAAATTGTCATGTTTTTACCCAAAGAGAATCGCATATTAAGCCAAAAATGTAGAGCACAATCGTTTTCGCTAATGTTCAAGTCGGGGAAAGAAAACATCTACTTTGGATGTCGTTATTGGAAAGCCGTGCGTCGAGCTCGATGATGCCTTGAAAAATCATATACAACAATGCATAACAAAATGAAGTAAAATGAGAATATTATCGCCCCTCGCTGTGACGTTTCTGTACCTCATGCGGTGCTGTTTTCCTTTTCACCAAGCGATTTTACTTTTGATTTGACTTTGGATTAGACTTTTGATTTGTATTTTACAAAGCTATTTGACCAAGGGGCAGTGTCATCTGACGATGTCATCATATCACGCCATAAGAATGCGTCACGAGTTTTGATGACACAATGCGACGTCATACAATGACGTCGTGACTGACACCGTTCGCGTGTGTTTTCGCAAAACTTCTTACCCCTGCAGTGTTTTATCTAGGCCACGCAGTGAGGCAGTTAAAGCTGTTGCCGTCATAACTACACTCTCTGGACGTTGCTAAATGAAACTCAACCAACAGCCCGACACGATAACTTTTTTTCAACGCTGCCTCGTAAGGTACACGAGAATACTGAAGTGAACTTCTACAAATAACAGAAATTTGAATGTGATAAGGGTCTAGAAGACTAGAAGAAAAGAGGCAATCTTGTGTTCTTCTGTACGAATTTAGAAGTAAGTACGTGCTTACTATAGGATAACAATGTACACCGACCTCATTCTTTTTGGCAGTAATAATTTAACAGAAATAAATGTTAACTTCTACAAAACAGCCTTTACGACTGATGAACCTGTGCGGCGTAGCCAATAATGCGGCACATTGTCGTTGCAGTTGATCGTGTTACAGAGGATGCTTGTGTTCTTGTTTTGAGCATTTTCACACTTTTTTCATTCTTTTCTTTTTGAGAACTTCGTCACGAACTTCTCATATCTATGAACCGTTTATTTTGATAATCGCAGGCATACACAAGCTGCTGAATGACCAGGTCTACTTGGAAGCATTTCCATTACATGACGTAAGAGCTCATCTCACTGAAATACGACTTCAGTACAGTCTGAGGGCACAATAATACCAACACCTCCCGAAAATTTCAAACTCGTACAGAACAGCTGGTTGACGAATTTCTGCTTGTTTCTGATGTTTTTCATCATTTGACCAAGCATTTGTCACGTGATCACCCTCAAAGATGACAGGTCGGCGCTAATTAACACTCCCCGGTTCAGGTGTATGGCTATATCTGATAAAGTTGACGGAAGGATGACAGCCGCCGTAGCTCAATTGGCAGAGCATCGAACGCGTCATTCGGTACCGACTGGGGGCGTTACCTATTCAACAAATTCGATTTCGTTTTCTTTATATCAAGATAACTACGAATAACGTACTTTATACATTACTTCACTTGATTGTCTGTTAGCTCTCATTAATTTTGTATTTAAGAAATTGTGGTCTCGAACGTCGGCATCTGCTCACGTGTGTAACTGACATTGTACTCCCTCATTACCGTACTCTACGGTAAGCCCAGCAAAGCTCCTGCTACCGGCTTCTCATTTATTTAACTTTAATCGCACAGGGACCTCCTGGAAGTGGACCCTTCAATCCTCTCAGGGAAGTTGCCACCGAGCGCAGGGTAAGTTAGCACATTTTAGAACGCTAAATAATGGGCACTCTTCAAGAAGACCAAAATAAAGTTAGGCAGCATTATTGACTAGCAAGTTATATTAAATATATACATTAGGAAATAATATAGCAGCACTTGCAACGCCACGCGCAGAATCTATCTATCTATCTCTATCTATCTATCTATCTATCTTTATAATATATATCTATCTATTATTATATATAATCCATATATATATCTATACTTTCATATCTATCTATAATCTGTTACTATCATTCGGTCCGCCGTCTGTCCGTCCGTCTGTCCGTACGTATGTCTGTCCGTCCTTACGGCGTCGTCTGTCGTCTGGTCTGTCGTCTGTCTGTCTGTCTGTCTGTTGTCTGTCTGTTCTTTTCTGTCGTCTTGGGTTGTCTGTCTGTCTGTCTGTCTGTCTTGTCTGTCTGGGTTGATCCATCTGCCGATTCTTTTTCCGCAATGACCATGTGGCAAATGTATGCCGAAGTGCGAGGCTCCTAGACACGGTGACGCTTAATCCTTTGACCACCAGCATGACAACGATGTACAGCGAAGCAAATCAACAAAAAAAAATAAAATGAGTTGCTACTACGTACTGTACCATGTGCTAGGCTCAAAAAAGATCGAGCCCTTAAAATATAAATTTCTGCAATTGAGCACAAGAAATTTAGCCTTTCTTTTTTTTCTCCTACGACACATTTTTGAGAAAGCAGACGTGACGCCATGACACCATCTATTTCGTCTATTTACAGCTTCTTTACAGCGAGTGGGCTCGGCCAGCAGCTTGGTACAAACAGCAACCGTTGGGACTCGTCAGGTTTGTGATATTGTGTCAATTGAATGGTTTTCAGTGGCGCTCCTTAGCACAGGGCAATCTGCTTCCATAAACATCTGATGGCGTACAATTTTTCTTGCGTGTTACTTGAGAGATTAATACGAATTGTTGTTTAAAACGTCTGTGTGCCAACTGATAACGCCCAAAGTTACCCTCAAGCCATTACAATATGCACTCGTGGTGAGATACCTAAGCTTAGTTAAATAAACTGAAGGTGTGCTCCTGGCACCGAAGAGTATCTCCAATGCCAGGAGTTGCTCTTAATCTATCTCTACATCTTATCTCTATACCTGATACATGACAGACGTAGAAATAACACCTAGACACAGATAACGCCTAATTCGGCATGTAAAATGCCATTGACAGGTCTTCGTTTTAATCAATGTCCAATATTATGGCAGTCATCGAAAATTCAATACTTCGGAGACACAGTTTTGAATACACATGTACATTTTAACGTCCCTTGAAATAATCACGTGCAATGACATTTTTATTAACATGAATATGGCGCTAGTTCAAGGAATGTCACCAGTGGGGGGGGGGGGCACATATGACGTCAAAATTGTCAAAATTAAGAATTATTTCTCTTCAGCAATCGTTCTTTTGATCTTCTGATTCCATGTATGGCAAATTTGGGACAAAAATATTTAGTGTTTCTGGTGTCTTGACATTCCTCTTGTGTCATTTTTAGCGTGTTCTATCTTCTAGAATGGCTAATCATATAGTGGTTTTGGGACGTTAAACCCTAAAATCAATCAATATCTTCTGGAATGGCTTAGAAGAGTTTCATTCAGTCCTGCAAGAAAACCATCATACATCTTATTCCGAACGGAACGCAAAGATAGAGGAAGGTTCACGAAAGTCAGAAGCTGTCATCAACGAGTCTGTAGAGCGTAACTCAACAGCAATTATCCATAGGAACTACACTCTGAGAAGGCTTTCCAATTGACTATGTAAAAAAATTATGAGCTCGTCAAGGACTTCGATAAAGGACCAAGATGAACGTTTGGTCAGCTGAGAAGTTTTCTTTGCGAAATCGCGTATTACTTCTCTTGTGGATTATAACGTTACGAACTCAGAGATGACAGCTTTCTTTTTTTCACGAGCGCTAATTTTGAATATTCGTAGCTCGCGTAAAAGCTATAGATATACAATGTAACTGAGATATCAGCGCTTTTCTCCTTCAGGACAAGGAATCCGAGTGATATAGGAGAGTGAATTATGTTGAGCAAGAAGTAGCACACACGGTTAAGAAAACAATCAAAGTGCATTGAATTTGCACCCCCGTACAATTTCATGCGATGGGAGGTGAATTGCAACAGAACCCATGTACTGATATTCAATTCGGTACAGACTGAAATAGTATGACGGCGTGCTTCGAAATACCCTGCAGGTATTGCAAAACGGCTTCTTATAAAAATGTTATATGAATTTCAATTAACTATAATGTTCGAAAATATACCTTAGTTGTCTTACAAATTAAATCTAGTCGGGAGTAATACCACGTACTACATTATAATTTCATTCGAAAGATAATACATTCTGAAATTACTTCAGAAAGATAACCAAAGCAAAGTTATTAAAGGTTTCGAGTAAGTATGCTTCCTTTACGACCTGCCCCGTTTCCACGTTTGAGTTGTTACACTAAGATTTCAACGCCTTTCTTATTCCTCTGTCCTTGTTTGGTGAAATTTTTATGTCAGAAGGCAAGAAGATGGGATTAATTTCAAACAGAAACAACTGATAAAATATTAGGCAAGCTTTTGAAATTGATAGCCTGAAGTACTTTATTATATTATTAAGTTACCAGCTCACAAAGGGTGCTCCTTACATCTGTAATTAGAGTAAAAATTAATTTTAAAATTTGCAACGGCGTAACTGTTGCTGCATTACTACCAATTATTGGTTATGAAAGCACGTAGAACGTTGCCAATTTAGTTACATACGACAAAAAAATTATCGCTCACAGTCGTCCCGTGTCACTCTCGCAGGCGCTATTTCGGCGAGAAGACCGGCCTCTACTTCGCCTGGCTTGGCTTCTACACGTCCATGCTCTTTCTACCAGCGGCTGTGGGAGTGCTGACGACGCTCGTCGGTCTCTTCGGAATGTCCACAAACACGCCAACGTAAGCATAACCGAAAGAGTGCACAACTATATATGGGTGGTTTGCTTGTAATACCAGTGAGCAGGAACCAAAATCGGCTGCAGCCCGTTAGCGTAGTCTGTGCGAATCGATAACACTCAGTGGGCGTTAACGTACCAAAATCGCCTCAATGCGCGGGCTTGCTTCAGGAGAAAGATGGGGTAGCTTGACTTCGTCACTTTGGGTTACTGAACGTTGGCTGCACACAAATGCATTGCAGCCGCCTCCACGGCCCTTTCGATGGGCCGAAGTTGAAACACCGAGCTTGGGCGACAAACTATGGCTTTCAGCACATCAGGACTCACTCTCTGGATTTTCGTGCCAACCAGTTGTGCCCCCGCGATCTCCGACGACAGCGCAGCTCTGGCCAACTGGCTCGCCCTACGCCATCTCCTGCCGTTGACAAGCACTCTCGCTGAGTGGTGCCCCGTCCTCGTACTCCTGCGACCGTGTCCATCTTTCCTATCTTCTCCTTGCTTCTGGGTGTCGCTGTCCCTGCACCACGCTCACTCCTTTCCCCTCTCTATCTCTATACCTTTAATCCTATCCTTTTAATCTCTTCTTACCATCATCCCGCGTGAGCTACTGTTGAGGTGTCGCACTCTGATGCAGACAGTTACGGGGCTCACTTTTCTCTTCTTTTCTCTTTAAGAATCACATAAGAATCAACACATCAGGCACACGAGCAGTCAAGGATCTGGCGATAGTGAATTTTCCCTGCTGTTTCTGAAGGTACGATTCAAAGAGGCTGTAAACTCGCATAGTGAGCCGTGTTGGTGTGCTTCTTCATTGGAAAAATGTTTGAGTATTTGCGCTTTGGGAAACGAGTACACGTGTTGTCGCCACCATGTGAGTCGTACCTTGGTGAGCTTTAGATGAGGCAAAAATTTTCTCGGTTTTCTACATTAATCTTCTCTATAATTAGAGAATTTCAAGTTTTATCTCTTAGAGAACTTGTTCACGAATCTGAGTCATGCATTCCCTCCTAATTACATTTCAGCACTGAAATCTGCAACCAAAGCATCGCCGGTGACTTCATTATGTGTCCAGCATGCAACAGAACCTGTCCTTACTATTACCTGTACAACAGGTGTACACTTCGCCGGGCAAGTACCTTTACCGAAATACAAAATAAGAAAAAAATCAAGTACTAGTTATAGCGTTTTTTTTTCCAGTCACATCTGTATTGCAAAGAAAATTTGTCGAGAAGAGCCTTCTTTGGGGCCTGTTCCTTATTCATCGTAAAAAAAAAACAGCGCCGAATATTACTGACGGAGAAGAAAAGGGCCCAAAGCCGACACACAGCGCTGTACTTCTAACGCAATGGTCATGTTGACTGACAGATTTTTTTCAATGCTCGCCGTTATGACAAGAATGATTCATTCTAGCTGCAGCTTTCTATTAGAATATTCGATAATTCGTAAAACCTTTTAAAGTATCCTTCAGGCTGCATAGATTACGTCCGCGCGCACCATTCACCGTCATCCTGCGCCCAGTTGTGGCATTATCGATCGATGAATACTATAAAGTGCTCAAGTTTTCGCGAAACATTTCTTGCACCTTTCAGGGTCTTACACCACTGTAATATGAGTCTTTTTGGAAGCGCCCGCTAACCTGCCAACGAATCGAATATTACTAGGTAAACTTTTTAAAATAGGTAAAGATCTTGTTTGCAATACCATAGTGATGTTTTCTTATGTTGTTCTGTAATGTATTTTAGTTATTTGTTGTGGTATTGTTGTTTTATTGTTGTTGCTCTGTTTCTATTAGTTTTGTATAACTCATCCACTCCTGCTATAGCCCCGCATTAGGGCTGCAGTATATTCAAATAAATAAATAAAAAAGAAAAAAGACCTTACGTATAGCGACTAATCTACTGACGGTTAAACGAGTGAATGATTAAAGGTTAGTCAAAGAAAAATAATTAACTCACTGTCCCTACGTTTTTCTTGCAGTTCGTCTCCGTTATCGACAACGGAAGCACCGTCGTGTTTGCAATATTTATGGCTTTCTGGTGTAAGTGGTTGTTTACGATTTGTGTTTTTCGTTGACCATAGCGTGGCTGACCATTGACTGCGTAAATAAAGAAAAAAAAATGGGGACTTCTAATCTACGCCTTTAGGAGTTGAACGCGACCGTGATATCCTGTCCTCTGGTGCGTACAAAGTTCAAAATGGCTTGTGTCAGTGAAGCTTTCGCATGCGGCTGTATTGTGTAATGGGTGGCATGCTTTAAACCACAGGCAATTATGCGTGTGAAATCTTTTCGAGCTTGGTATTCACCCATTACGTGGCTTCAAGGAAATAATTGCAGTAAAATGTGTGCCTTTCTTAGTGCGTGACCAGCTTAAAACCATGAAGTTACGATAATCACATGTTCTGACGCCCGGTCGCAATGTGCGCTCGTTCCTCACATTATTACTGCTATTTTACACCTTACAATGTGAAGCAGGTATACAACATGCACGCAATTTTAAAGCATGCAAGTTACTTTCACTGCATTTCAAAGCAACGGAAGTTATTCTCGCTCTATTTCCAAGCAGACGCGTGGATTTGTGGTGTACCATACACTTGCCTCCCAAACTACCCGGGTTCGATTCCCACTCGGACAAAACATTTTATTCTTCAGTTTATTTGCATTTTTCTCTGTTTCTTGGTCACGCAAAGGTAATTTTTCGCTCACAATCAACGACACTGACGCCTACGCAAACATCACCGCCGGCGCCGAACCAACCCCGGAATTTCTGTGAAAGAAGCTCTTTAACGCTATCGCGTTTTAACATAATCAAATATTGCCATCATATAGTATTTAAGAACATTTTATCATAATGAACCAAGCTTTCCACAGTAATCTTGAGGAAGGAAACACACTGTTTTTACCGAACTATTTGCGCACAACGCCGCATGCCATTTCTTTTAGAGGCGATAGTCTTTCTTGGGATAGTAGAACGCAGTTATTTTGTTGCGTACATCTGTCTATCTGTCGTTCTGTCTGTCACACGATTCAATCACCCGGCCCAAGTTTAGGCACGTGTAGGTAGCCCAGCTATCTTTAACGGTTGGCTGCGTTCAGGCATCTGAATATCAAAAAGCAAATATACGCATACCTGAGGTGCAACATCAATACGCAAGTATTAGGGGATGTGTTTCTTTACTAAAATACATATATACTTCATTCAAGTGACCCTGGTGTTTTTTTTGGCTGCGCTGAAAGTGAGATGCAATGCACGAAAGAAGACATTTAGGCAGGCAAATACGCGGCCGTTTTTTTTTGTTTTTGTTTTTCTCACTTTTTTCAAGCGTGTGTTGTACGGCTAGTAAGACTCCAGATGCACGTTTTCTTGAGGCGAAAAATGCGACAGGCACTTTCCTTTCGCTCGAGTCTGACCTCATCAGTTTCAGTACTGCAACTTTAATTACGAAACAAGCCTTAAACAACACTGGATGAAGTTGACATACCAATAATTATGCTGTAGTTCATGCCATAGCGTCGTAGTAGTTCGTCTTGCTGTCTTTCGTGGCAGCGAATACGGGCTGGTGTATAAGCACCGTATTTAGAGCAGAAACTGGGAATACGATGAAAGTGCAGTTCCTTCATTGAAGGAAAGAAGACTGTTGGTCGAATAGCTGCCTTTATTGACATTTCTTGTTTGATGAACTTGTCACGTTATTTAATGACATAATGCGTACTCGGCGAAGTACAAGAGTTATTATGCGTTACTAAAACTTGTTGTTGGGCTAGTTGGTGCATGGTACAGCGCGTTATTATACCGCTGTATAGTCACGTGTGCCAGCGGTTACCAACTTCAAGACAGGTAGCGCGATTCCGCCTCTATTATTACTACAGGGCGATAGTTATGCGTTCACTGAAGTTCATTACGCAAGGCATAAGGCACGTCACGTATTGATGATATGGTCACAAAATTTTCTAAAAAATTCACCATATTTTGCAATACCGTACCGCTAAGCGTTTGTTTTTCAGCTGTCGTTACAAGAGGGGTGGCAATGTCACAAAAAAAAAGGTGAAAAATATATGTCAGGGCTGGTCAGCATAAGGCCTCTGCTGGCTGCATATTCAAGAAACACAAAGAGAAACTTTGTTCCTCGAATTTAATTCATCATGTTCGCAGCGACTACCTTCACTGAGCTCTGGAAGCGTCGTCAGAGCGTCCTGGCATTGCAGTGGCACGTGCAGGGCGACGTTGATACGCTCACGGTAAGATGCTAGGCAAACAATTTTTTTCCCCTCAAAGCGTCATGGATGTGAAAAAGTGCAGCCCCTGTGTTTCACTAGTTTCTTTAAGTCGTCACAACGATCGGCACATCAGAAACCATATGTCTTGCTGCTTTCGCAAACTACGAACTATCGGATCAAAGTTTATTACAGATCGCTTTATTCCTCTGATATGAATCACTCTATTATTGGTCGAAACTAGTAAACGTCCCAGTAAGCAGCGAAGTGGGGCACAAAAGTGACAACTGTGTTAAGCCTAAGTGCAAAGTTGCGACCGTATCTTCAGTGACACCCCGATTACGGAAGGTTTAAGCAGATATTTCATGGCACATTACATGTAACGAACACCAGCCGTTCAAAATTTCCGGAGCTCTCCACTGCGGCGTCTCTCGGTGTCATCACGTAATGTTAGAACATCAGAGCCCAGCAATCTTTATAATAGATGTTTGAACTCTGTTGTGCTAACTAGATTTTATACCATAGCAACACGTGTTTTCAACTTTCTCTTTTCCTAGTTGTGGGAATTGAGGCTGGCCCGCTGCCTTTAAGCGGGCTTTCCCGCCTTTTCTGCCGTTCTCATGTCCCGACATGTCTGCCCTCCTTGCTGTCTGCCGCGCTGGGAAGGGCGGAGTGACGTATAACTCCCTCACCCGGTAGCGGATGTTGACTGTGGCGCCGCACGCGGGGACCCCTGGGAGGTTTTCGCGCGCTGCGTCGGGAGCGGTCAGATACTCTCCGGGACAGCAAACGGTGAGCCACGCTATCTTTTCGTCCGTCGACTCCCGTCAGTCGGGGCTCGTCGGACTTCGCTGACGGCGCCTGGCGCCCAAGGCGAACGCTCACCCGCTGTTGCCCCGCTGCGTACGCACGGCCGAAGGGCGGTACGGTGTCCTAGTGCGTGGCCTCGCTACGCCGACCCGTCTCCCTTCGAAGCCCACGCGAGCGCCTTTGCCCTCGCTCGAGCAACCGGGCCTTTGCTCCGGTGTCTCCGTGGATCGGCTTTACCGCGGAGACGTGCTCGTGGCACCCCTGTGTAGTACTTTGTGCCCGTGGCGTGGATAAGCCTACTTGCTTTCCCGCCGCGCCTATTTGCAACGGGCTGTACTGCGTTTGGTGTTGCCACAATAAAGTGTTGCGACTTGAGCAGTATCGTGTTTCCCGCCACGGCGACGGTTAACGCGTGCCCTGCGGCTCGCTAAGACCGGACCCACGCTGGTGGCCGTACTCCTTCGGGATACGTGTACACCACACTGGCGCCCAACGCGGTATCAAAAGCTCTAGCTTTTGATTGCTCTTAGCGAGTCAGTTCGCCTGCGCGATTCGGGCTCGTCGCAACATGGCTGCTTCGCGGGACTTTTGTCCGCTGTCCCTTTTAGCGGATGCCGCGTTGCACACGGAGGCCATTGCCTCTATGGACGGGAACCCTTCTGCACCCGTCCGTGTCGGCACCCCCTATTGCGGTGACGACACGGGGCGCCTAGCCGCTCCCTTTGGAGATGGCGCGTCGCTTCGGAATGGGCCTCTTGCCCTACCCGAACGTTACGCACAAGCGCCTCCGACTGCTAATGCGCCCTTTGGCATGCATGGCAGTTCGTCGGCACAGCGCTCGCAGTCGGTTCCCTGCGGAATTGACGGGGCCCTCGCCGACTTTTGCCCGCTATCAGCCGTGCAACCGACACTTCGACCGCACGCTGAGCAGGCGCCTAAATTGTCGATGGTAGCCGCACCAAGTGCGCCTTTGGTTCGACAACAGGCAAATCCCACAAGGAGCCTATTTTGCTCTGGGAATGGCGCGCAGGGCGGTGGTCTGTTTGAAACCGCCCCACTGATCGAGCTGGGCGACTGCTCGCCTTCGCTCGACCGCGCCGCTAACGCACCAACGGTTTCCTACGAAGCCGGTGCGACGACGCAGACTTTGCTGCAAAACGCCGTGCAGATGATCCAAGCACTCTCGGGAGCTGTGCAAACGCTTTCGGCTGTTCCGAAAAGCGGTCACCCCGCTGTTATGTTGCCTGTGCCAACCTACAGCGGATACGGTGATCAGCTCACCGCCCGAGATTACCTCGACTCTCTGTCACGTTATCAGAGAGCGATGGGTTTGGATGATAAGGTGGTGCTCGAACGTGTTGTTCCAGCTGCACTGACTGACACGGCGGCGAGATGGTATCGGCTTTCCGGTTACCGTGCAGCAAACCTCGAGGAATTTCGTGCGGTCTTTTTGCGCGAATTCCTACCCGCTGACTACGAAAGTAGGATGCGGCGAGAGCTCGAGCTCCGTACACAAGCTCCTGACGAGTCTTTACAGGAGTATGTACGGGCGATGGATGAACTTATTTCTATCGCTGAGCCCCGAGCCTCGAACGAGGAACGCGTCGAACGGGTGATACGGCAGGCACATCCGACTTTTTCGGCATACCTGCGCGGCGGCCGCTTCAGTGATTTGGAAGCGTTGGCCGCCGAGGCGAAGCGCATCCAAGGCGACATTCTCGCCGCGCGTGCCTATCGCCCGCCGCCGCCAGCCAGCGACGCCCTTGAGCCGCGCTGCGCTTGGAGAGGGGCCATGACCCTTCCCCAACGGCAACAGCCTCTCCGCGCCGCCTTTGCGGCTGCAACCGGCTGTGCGTGGGAGTTGAGCGATCGCGCTCTTGACCCCTTTACGCATGAAAGGCGGGCAGCCTGCGCTGCTCCGCCTGAAACCTCCATACAGGGACGCTTTTCGACCCAACGTAATGTTGGAGGTGCGGCTCGCAGAAACGTATCCTACGATAACGTAGCGAGCCGATCACGACAGCTCGAAGCTGCTCCGTCTGGGAATACAGACCGTGATGGAGTGCGCTGTTACCGCTGCCGTGAAAGGGGGCACATAGCAAGGGAATGCACCGGATCCAGGCCTCCTGCGAGGCAGGGAAACGGGCTTCCGGGTCGTTCGTGAATGCACGACCGACCCAACCTTTGCTTCTTCCCTCTGCGTGCAGGGCAAGCACTTTTCTTGCTGATACGCACGCGCCGTTCATTCCGGTCACCATTGCCGGCCGTGAATTTTCGGCTTTGCTGGACACGGGCGCTAGCGCCTCGTTGTTTGGCGAACAGGTGTTGTCCCACTTGCAGAAGCACTCGGTGCGCTTGCGGGACAGCCGAACGACATTCACCCTTGCGAAAGGCGTGGCCCATTCGGCAGGCGCTGCAAGGTTGACTGTCCGATGGGGAGATCGAATGAGACGCTGCCGTCTTATTCATCTTCCAGGGCTCAATGTTCCAGTGATTCTCGGTCGGGACTTTCTCCTTAAAACCGGTATCGTTGTGGACATTGCGAATGGCGGCTATCGTGATGGCCCATTTTGCCAACTCAAGCCGTTCATCAGCCCGCCGGCGCTTACCGTCGCCTTTGCGGCAGAAGCGTCGGAAACGTGCCCTGCGCAGAGTTCGGGGCCAAGCCCCCGCTCACCGCATTTGCCCTCTCACAGTCCCCTTTGGGAACGAGAGGCGCGGCACGAACCGTGTCGTGCGCCAACTCCGGGGTCGTACCCTGGCGTTCCGCGCTCGTCGGCTCGAAACCCCTGCTTGGATCGACCGGCACGACACGAAGAGGCACTACATCCTTTGGTCGCCTGCGCGACTCAGTTGGATGAAGCACAGAAGGCTCGTTTGTCGACACTGTTATGTCAGTACGACGAGCTCTTCACCGATCAACCTGGCTGCACCGATTTTGTGAGCCATGTGATCGAAACTGGCGACGCGCTTCCTTTGAAGTGTAACCCCAGGCCCGTCAGTCTCGCCAAAAGGCAGATTATCGATGGGTTGCTAGATGACATGCTTGCGGCTGGCATTATTCGCCGCTCGTCTAGCTCCTGGGCGTCTCCAATTGTGCTGGTGCCTAAGAAAGATGGCAGTCATCGCCTGTGCGTAGACTATCGCCGTCTGAATGGAGTGACTCGTAAGGATGCCTATCCGCTCCCCACGATAAACTCCATCGTAGGTAACCTGGGTGATGCACGGTACTTTACCACGCTTGACGCCTCTAAAGGTTACCTACAGGTCCGGATGGGTACCCGTGACCAGTGTAAAACTGCGTTCACGTCCCACAGAGGGTTGTTCGAGTTTACTCGTATGCCCTTTGGTCTTTGCAATGCTCCTGCGACGTTTCAAAGACTCATGGACCGCGTCCTCGGGGAAGCAAAGTGGTCATACTGCATGTGCTACCTCGACGACATCGTGATTTATTCACGAACCTTCGAAGAGCACTTGGCCCATGTTGCCGATGTGCTCGAGAGGGTGCGGACCGCCGGGATGACACTTAACCCCGCTAAGGTCCAATTAGCGCAGACCCGTGTTCATTTGCTCGGGTTTACGCTGGGCGAAGGCTCCATAGAGCCGGATCGGGAGAAACTTCGAGCTATTCTCGAATTTCCCGTGCCCAAGGACGTACGTGGCCTTCGCCGCTTTCTAGGAATGGTCAACTTTTACCGTTCCTTCATTCCGTCCTGTGCCCGACTGCAGGCGCCCTTGAGCAAACTCTTGGGTAAGTCTGCTGAGTGGCAATGGGGACTTGAGCAGCAGGAGGCGTTTTGCCGACTGTCTAACGCCATAGCGGAGACAGCGCAGCTCAAGCTCCCCGACCTGACCAGACCGTTCGTTGTACAGACTGATGCGAGCGATCTGGGTTTAGGAGCTGTTCTCCTACAGGAATACGATGGCGTGTTGCAGCCGTTGGCCTTTGCCAGCCGCTCCTTGGTCTCTGCGGAGAAAAATTATTCCGTGACCGAAAAGGAGTGCCTCGCCATCGTGTTTGCACTGCGGAAGTTTGACGTCTATCTTGATGGGACGAAATTCGTAGTGCAAACGGATCACAGTGCGCTCAGCTGGCTGATGCGGCTCCGTGAGCCTGCCGGCAGGCTGGCGCGCTGGGCTCTCCTGATACAGCACTATGACTTTTCGGTGCAGTATCGAAAGGGGAGCACCAACGTGGTAGCTGACGCGCTATCTCGTTCCCCACTGTCGGCCGAGGACCTTGATCCCGGTGCGACCGCCGCTAGCGGTGCCTTAGCACTTGCAAGCGTCGGGGGCGAAACAGCAGCTTCGCCGCCGTTCGGCGTGAAGGGTGAGTCCCCATGTGGACAAACCTTGGCTGCTAACCAGGTAAGCGGCGCACCGCGAAGCGGGGGAGCTCTCCGAAGGCCACGAGGCCGAGAGCGAACCCGTAACGCCGACTCAAGCGGTTGTTGCTGCGGTCCTGAGTGGGCGCGATACCAGACTCCCCCATTTTGGGAGAATGGGCATCGCTTTCAGCAGAGAAGAGCTTCTGAAGGCCCAGCAAAGTGACCCGTTTTGTCGCGAAATATGCGACGGTCTCAGAGAGACGGAGCGCCGTGACGCTGCTTGTCCTGCAGCGGGCGCCGATAACGACTGTCTGGACGAGACGGAGCGCCGTGACGCTGCTTGCCCTGCAGCGGGCGCGAATAGGGGGCTCGAACCAGCGTGTGTCGCTGAGTCCCCGGCGGATTCATATTTGCTGGACCATGACGGGCTCCTGCTGAAGTATATAGCCACTGACGACGAGTCCATAGACCCGTTTAAGGTGGTTATGCCCAAAAGTCTGAGAGCCGCACTGTTGCGATCCTCTCATGACGAACCCATGGCTGGTCACCTGAGTGGCTCGAAGGTTTTTGCAAAACTGAGCCGCGTTGTGACCTGGCCCGGCATGAAGCGAGACATTTTTCGCTACTGCCGTTCTTGCCGCGTCTGTCAAACGGTGAAATCAAGGGGTGGCAAACCGCCCGGTCTGATGAAACCGATTGTCAGTGAGCGTCCGTGGCAAGTGGCCACCTGCGATCTAATGGGACCATTTCCCAGAAGTAAGCAGGGGTTCATTCACCTGATGGTAGTCGCTGATCACTTTTCGAAATGGGTGGAACTTTTCCCACTTCGGAAGGTGACAGCGCGAGCGGTGCTTGAGAAGCTGCAGGAAGTGTTTTGCCGGTTCGGCTTCCCGGAAAGGCTCATCACTGACAATGCTTCGTATTTCACCGCTCGGGTGTTTGGTGTCACGTGCCGTTCCCTCGGAATTGATCACTGCACCACTTCACCCTACCATCCCCAGTCCAATTTGACGGAGCGCGTCAATCGTACGCTCAAACCGATGTTGGCGGCCTTTGCCGAAAGTCAAAGGGACTGGGCAGACCATTTGAGTGAGCTCGCGTTCGCTATTCGAACATCCGAGAGTCGCTCAACTGGTTTCTCGCCCGCCTTCTTAAATTTTGGAAGGGAGTTGGCAAATCCGGTGACCAGCGTCACTCAATGCCAGCTCGAGGACGAGGAGGCGCCGGCAGACTGCTCTGCTTACGCGTCGGCACTTCGGGACAGGCTTTGTCGAGCTTTCTGCAAAGCAAGGCAAAGTTTGGCGTCGGCCAGGGCTCAGCAGAAGGCCCAATATGACCGCAAGCATCGCGACCTAGTTTTTGAGGTGGGCGATCTTGTCCTGAAGCGCAACCACGCCCTTAGCGATGCCAGTAAGGGGTTCTCAACCTCGCTCGCTCCTAAGTGGCTTGGTCCGTACCAAGTGGAGAAAGCTTGCACTCCACTCGCGTACTTGCTGAAAGATCCCCAGACGGGAAAACTCAGCCGTGCCCATATCGCAGACCTGAAACCCTTTGTATCACGGTCTGACGAGCTCGCGCCAGAGCCCTGCGGCACTGCGCGCCAGCAACGGGGCACACCCGGAGCGGCGGACCGCATTCGGACCCCGCGCCGGTATAATCTGAGGAAGCGGTCACCTTTGTGATTTCGCGCCGGACGGCGGACTTCTCCGCAACCGAAGGCCCTCAGTTTACTGTCTAGCCTCAGTATCGGTTAGCTTCTTTACGGCCTTTTCTCGTAAAGAAGTTGACCCCGCCGTGTCTGCTGCCAGTGTTTCTTTTTTTTTTTTTCAAGTGCTCATGTGTATTTTATGTTTCTTTTTCTAATATTGAGTGTTATCTGTGTTTTGTGTTTTTTTGCCAGATGTTGAGTGTCGTTTTGCTCTGTTTTTACTTTTTTTTCGTGTTCGTTTCGTCAACCGCGAAGGGAGCTGTGTGTGACCTTGAGTGTCGGTGCTTGCCGGGGGAGAGAGACGAAGGACGCTTTGCGCCTACGCTCGCGCAGCCGTCGGCCGTGTGTGTGCGTGTGTAAGTGCGTGACGCTTCAGTGCGAGCCCGCGAAGAGTGCGTCATGGCTGCCCTCCATCGACGCGGACACTGGAGGTGCTGGGGGGTCATTGACCCACTGACGTCAGACCATCTGGCTGTGCTCTGCTCTTGGCCGTCGCCGAAGAAGCCGTGCTGCCTTTTCCACCATGGCTCCTGCGCGAGGCCAGCTGAAAGCAGCTATATGCTGCCGGCCAACGCCAGGGCGCCTCGCAGCCAATTTCGGTTCGGCCTCCCTGACCACCGGAGAGGCCCGGCTTCCCGCAATGTCCAGCTTCGTCATCGAGCCGGAAATGCGGGGCCTCCGAACAACCGAAGCGGCTTTCGTCGGACTCGCGGCTTATCAAGAGCAGCAACAAGCCATCAGTGAGCCCCCTTCCGGTACCTGTGACCTCGCACTCGGGCATCGCACCCAGCGGACACTGTCACGCCTTTACCGCACCTCCGCGCACTGGACGCTATCCCCCTTTAGCACCACGAACACTAGTGCCACGTTGCTGTGCTCCCTTCCGCAGTTATTTGTATAGTGTCATGTGTTTATTTTGTTATTTATGTTTTGTTTCTCCTGGTAATCATTTTTTAGCAGCAGTAGCAGGGCTGGACTGAGGTTAGCTGTCGCTTATAGCAGTGTCATTTTAACTGCATGGGTGACGCCCGGCTGCCTTTTGCAGACCGGTAAAGGGCAAATTTAGGAGAGGGGGATGTGGGAATTGAGGCTGGCCCGCTGCCTTTAAGCGGGCTTTCCCGCCTTTTCTGCCGTTCTCATGTCCCGACATGTCTGCCCTCCTTGCTGTCTGCCGCGCTGGGAAGGGCGGAGTGACGTATAACTCCCTCACCCGGTAGCGGATGTTGACTGTGGCGCCGCACGCGGGGACCCCTGGGAGGTTTTCGCGCGCTGCGTCGGGAGCGGTCAGATACTCTCCGGGACAGCAAACGGTGAGCCACGCTATCTTTTCGTCCGTCGACTCCCGTCAGTCGGGGCTCGTCGGACTTCGCTGACGGCGCCTGGCGCCCAAGGCGAACGCTCACCCGCTGTTGCCCCGCTGCGTACGCACGGCCGAAGGGCGGTACGGTGTCCTAGTGCGTGGCCTCGCTACGCCGACCCGTCTCCCTTCGAAGCCCACGCGAGCGCCTTTGCCCTCGCTCGAGCAACCGGGCCTTTGCTCCGGTGTCTCCGTGGATCGGCTTTACCGCGGAGACGTGCTCGTGGCACCCCTGTGTAGTACTTTGTGCCCGTGGCGTGGATAAGCCTACTTGCTTTCCCGCCGCGCCTATTTGCAACGGGCTGTACTGCGTTTGGTGTTGCCACAATAAAGTGTTGCGACTTGAGCAGTATCGTGTTTCCCGCCACGGCGACGGTTAACGCGTGCCCTGCGGCTCGCTAAGACCGGACCCACGCTGGTGGCCGTACTCCTTCGGGATACGTGTACACCACATAGTTTACCTTGTTCCGAAAGTCTCTCTCTTTCCCCATTGCCGGGTCAGCGAATAGAAGTGAATAGGTTGCCACAGCCACGTAGTTCTCTTTTACAGCGGTTTTCTTTCCGCAGGACGTGGTGTACCCCGAGTTCGAGGCCCACGCGAAGTTATACAAGTTGAATCCAGTGAACATGGTAGGAATTCAATCATACCAAAGCAACGTGATTTCGCAACACTTATTCTTTCGTTCCACCTTTAAAAAACTGTTACACTTTTCACTAAAACGAACAAACTGCATTTCAAATCTGGAGTCAGTGTTGGCCGCATAAATTCAGTAAACTTCACAAGTTCCGCGATATATTCGCGAGCTATGTTCGCATAACTATAGCGTCAGGTGTGGCGCTGCTGTTTGACGTAAAATAGAACGCTGTACCTGTTATAATTTTTTCCAGCACATGTGACATCTTTACATCAGTATAAACAAAACTGCAATGTCACGAAGATGTGTTAGCACACTTGACATTGTGTGTAGAGCACAACCACGCAAAATTGTATGAGCTTGGAGTAATTTCTACATGTTAAACGCTTTCTCACGTGCAACTGAAAATGTTGAAGACAGACAGAATCAACATACAAAAACCATTCGTCTTGATGGGTAAGAGCATATTTAGAAATGTACCGTCACGAGCAAGCTTAACTGAAGCGCTCCGCAGCGTAGCCTGGACTGGTTTGATTGATTTGATTGACGCCCGTCGCGAAGCGTAAGGTAATGCTGCCAAGATGATACATCTGTATTCATGGATAATATGCCGGTATGTATTTATAATATTCCGGCAACATAAGTTACGCAGCACTGGCGTCAAATAAATCATTTCAGGACACGCTGTGGAGCGTTTGGGTTGCTGATTAATGTGCATCCAAATGTCATTTTCGGGTCATGGTCAAGTTGTTTCATTATTTTTCACACGAGTATAAGTACTGTATATGGTCTATTGTAGAGTTATTTCAAAGAACTGGGTACCACTGAATAGAAGAAGTGCATAGAAGAGCGCAATATTTGATTTGATGTTTGATAACTTCAAATATCTACGTGACCTGAGTATGAGTATGTAGATTGTTTCAGCTTGTCTATACGTCGTAAGTAGAGAGTCATGAGTCATCACTTCGTAAAACTGTACACCTTTTATTTTCTTGTTTTTAGGCCATGTTACTATTGGTAATCCATGTCATCCTTTAAATATAAGCCTTTATGAACACACGAATTCCTTAGAAGGCAATGAGCACGAGCAGGTTGCCCTGCGTTTTTTTTTTTCAGAACACTTGTGTGCCCCAATGTCTAAAGCTATCTATATTTATTGTTGTACATTTAGGTGACCTCACTATTTCGCCATGGTGAATCTGCGGTTGTGGTGCTCCGATGCCCACCCGAAGGCATCGCGTTCTATCCCGGCCGAGGCGGTCGCATTTCGATCGACGGAGACGCAATGCTAGACGTCCGTGTTCAGTGCGAAGACAGAGAACGTTAAAGAACACCAGTTGGTCAAAATTTCTGGAGCCCTCTACGACGACATCTCTCATTATCATATCACAGGATTGGAACTTAAGATCTCCGATACGTTATTAGAAGTTACCACAAAGGTAGTTTGCCGTAATAAAATAAATAAAAATAAAACGTAATAAAATAAGAAGAAATGCAATGAGTAATCGTAGTAAACCATACCATAACCACCGTGACAAGGACGTTAGTATAGTAAGCTTCTTATAGTTCTCGCGTCCCTAGTTGCGCTGTGGTTCATCATGCATCGCCAACTCGTCATGCTGCAGAGTAAGCAAAGTCTCAATAGTTGCGCATGTCAGTGTGTTTCGATCATCGAATTGCGTCATCCTCTCGTTGAACGATGCACGTTTGATCAGCCTTCTTGATATTTGCTCGTGTGCCAGATGTTACGTAATCTACGCGAGCAACCTGGGTTGACAGCGATGATATATCACGCATCTGTGTTGCTTCTGGTCAAGTTCGGGATAACTATGTGCTGTCTTATAAAGCTGAGATGTTTAATCTTCTCCCTAAGAAATTGTGAAGGCGAATTTACAGCCTCAATAACGCTGACTAAAAACTTAACTATGAAAAATTAGCCTCCTCCTAAACGTCAGCTGATCTAGAATTGCTTCTTTTGATTTGATTTGATTTGCCACAGTACAGTGTAACATGAGGCGCAGGGAAAAGCCGTAATGACGGCTTGAGGGATCTTTCGTTTCCTTTGAGAACAATTGCAGCACCTGAAGGGCATAACAACATTGTCACAATATTACATACCTCGTACAGGGCATTACAATATGATGTACTTTCTTCCACCGAAAAATGTCACATTGTTTTGCGTAAAGATCATGTTGCGAAAAAAAAGAAAACTGAAAAACGTGTTTTATACATAGCTTACACAAGAAAGAGACCTAATGTGATCTTCTGCACCTATAAATAACTACATGGTGTACACATAAAAAAAAGAGCTGCTGATTCTGCGGCACTTAAATGAGACACATCTATACCTTTGCTAATATAATTATTTAGAATTCTTGGAAGAGTACATATGGTACGAACCGATTTGTACATTTCCTACGCAGATATATGAACCTTATGTGCCATTCTGGGAAAAATCGGCCCGGGTCGCAGCTGCCAACTCTGTAGTGTTGCTTATGGTGAGTGAAAGTTCTCGTTAAGTTTTATCTTTTTGACATTCATTTGCATACACTTTCACAGTTACATAAGAAGCTAAAAACCATGAACCGTAATAAATACCAAGGTCCGAAATCAAAAGCTGTAGACAAAGCAGATATATAGAATTCCTGGCACCATGAGCGCTACAAGCAGTTTCTGAGTCAAATTTTTCTTCTCTCTCCTTGTGCGTGTGCGTGTCAAAATCGAAATAATTCTTTACAACTGAAATCGCTAGCTTCACGGGCATCTTTTATCGAAACAAACATTAGGACTTCCGAGATAACGTTGAATTGCTAACGAAGTGTCTTCAAGCCGCTAATTTCGTTCATTCCTAATGACCTCTCGCTTCTCAGCTGTGCTTGGTGCTGTGCTCCGTGTTCGCCATCATCGCCTACCGCATCATCACACTCGGGTGGATGTCGCGGAGGCCCTGGCTGCGGCCCCACGCCCATGTAATAGCGACCGTCTCTTCGTCGATGCTCAATCTCGTCGTCATCATGCTCATGAACAAGGTGCGTAATCACAAATGCTGTTCATTAGGACCCAAACCTTTTCGTCTCACCAGACTGGAAAATAGACCGGCGTGAACAGTGGCGGCGTCGCACTTCTGCGTCGTAGTCCCGCGTCGGTAGCGTTCACGCGAGTTATACAGTGGGATATCCAAGGACACAACACGATCACGTGATGACGCAATAATTTTTTGCAGACTAGTTGGTTCATTCTTGAAAAATTGATTTGCTGCACAAACTTGAAAGAAGACAAGAAAGACAGTTCAGGAAAGAGCGCAGTTCTGCGCTCTTTCCTGTCCTGTCTTTCTTGTTTTCTTTCAAGTTTGTGCAGAAAATCAATTTTTCAAACATGTGATGAAGTCTACGTCACCAAATGACGTCATTGCGACGTCACATATCACCACAATTGGTGACGTCACCTTGACTTGACCAGTTGGCGTAATCTCATAGCGTCGTCTCTAAGTCAGAAGTAGGACGATTACGGAGGCAGGGCGAAACCAGCTGAATCGCACAAAGCTTGCGATGGAAGCGATCCTGCAGGGAGTACAAAGCCTACCGTGCCTGCCGGGGCGGCTGTTCTTCGGCTAAGTCCGTTACTACGTCTTCCTAGCAGCCGCTTAAAACCACGTCTGCCGGGGCAGCAGTTCGGTGGTCAAGTCCGTTACCGCGTCTACCGGGGTGGGCGCTTAACGGAGCAAGCTTTCGCAAGAGGTCGGGAAAGGCTCAATGCATAGACTGAAACGCAGAAAGTGATGGTTTTCCACACTTCCAGTTTTCAAACTCATAATAAAAAGGCCCTAAATTATAAGAAGATTGGGAGCATATATATGTATAAGCTAAAATACCATGAACTTTGATAAAGTGTGTGTCTCTACGCTGGTTAGCCACACAGAAATAGTCACCCCAAGGGGCTGGGCAATAAGCGTGGAGTAGTTCTCTAACGGCAACCTGTGGGCTCTTCATCCGCAGGTCTACAAAAGGCTAGCCACGCATCTCACTGAAATAGGTAAGGGTATCTCCATCGTTCGTTCTTTGATGCATCCTTTTTGACAAATGAGTCGGTATCTGGTTGCCTCTTGTAAGCCGCATAGCCCAAAAGCAACAAGTGTTGAGATGTCACTAAGTTTGACTTAATCTGCCGTCGCAATTGTAAGATTACCTTTTGCAGATATCTGAGGTCATTTTACTTAATTTCGCTGAAGTTGATATTTATTCGCTTTTGCAACAGGGGCAGTGTGAATTTCATGAAAGGGGAACACGCATGCGAGTGAACAGCGCTTTGTCGCGGCTTCCTGCAGCACCATCAACTGACTGATAAGGAAAGCGCGACCGATTTTAGCGCCATCTGTTAGCAAACGAAGCAAGCCATGACCGATTGAACGAGCCCCGCTAAATTGTGCTCATGACGCTCTGGTCTCGCAACGGGCGATGCCACCTAAAGCGGACGCGCTTTCTTCACTTGTCGGCTGATAGTGCTGTAGGCAGCCGCCGCAGAGCGCAGGCCACGCGCTCGCGCGTTCCCTTTCATAAAAATTGATACTGTACATTGTAATGTCTACGGGTGAATACTAAAGGGAAGTGAGGTTTGCGTGCTGCACTTGCAAAATATTATATCCTATCTGTTCGAGTATGTCAAACCAGATGTTTCACTGAAGACCATAAAACACCTAAACAGGCAAAACAAAACATTCGTATTGTTTTTTTTTTCGATTCGCGTTATTTTATCATGATGACGCAAGTACTTTTCTCACAAAGCTTGAACATCATATATGACAAAACTTGGGAAGGAGGGGAAGGCGTGAAGCGTTGAAAAATCGTTGATTAGGAAATGCCACAGGTGACAATGTTTCGGCAGGTTGAATATTCTGTGTCGGGGCTGCGGCGTGGCCTTTACGAAGAAAAGTGCGCTTGTGTAAGCGTTGGCTGGAGCGACATTATACCTGCTAAACAATATCTGAATGTGTTCACTCCATCGCATTCAATGGAGTGACTGCAGTATTAGAAGCCAGTATCCACAAACTTTCATACTGGCTACGTCCATTTACATAGACAGGGAGGATCCTATAATTGCTTGACATTATTTCGACTACATGCCAAGAGGGAAACATGAAAAATCTCGTAGCCAAACACACACGAATTCAAGTCTTTCATCAAACGTGTCTTACCGACAGCAGCTGGCCTGTGATTATGACGAATCGGTCTAGCAACACTGCACTTATTTCGGTCCATTCAAGATCGCAGAACACTGGGTTTGCTCATGTATTCATGCGAAATGAGTAGCTGCTCAAATAATAGATCGAAATAGTTGTGCTCACCCATTATTGCTACGACACCTGGAGAACCTCCGCCGAGCTGTAAACCCTTGGCTAACGCGCAACAGAGCCGCGCAAAGCATGTGATATTGAGCTTTAGCCATTTTCGTCTAATGCACGGCTGCCTTGCTTGACGTGTCCTACTGTGGTTTCCTTTCTGAGTGCTCCAAATCAAATGTCTTATCTTTCCCTTATTCATATTTGGCACGTTAACCGAGTGAGATAACCGAGCGCGATGCAACTTACGACATCTCTGAGCAAGTGGCCATGGTAAGCAGAGGCACGCGCCACGACCACGTCAAGCTGTTCCCGTGCTTTTCCCGATTTAAGATTCACAAAATAGGCAACGAAAAAGACCGATGAAGAAAAGCCGAGTTCTTTTACAGCTGAACACAATTTCTTAGTTTGGGAGAATTTGTGAAACACAATGAACGCGAACATCCGCATTAACCTCATCTAGTTGAACAAGATCAGTGGATGCTCGGCAAGTGCGCATGTTCCTTAAAACCGAAACTGGGGCTGTTTCCGGGCATGTCTTTGAAGGCACGTAGGAAAAATCGCATAGTATCAATCACAGCTCCTCACACACAAATTATCTGCTCTTTCAGGGAAGTCATTCATTTAATTTTTGATAATTATTATAACAGTTATTTGAACCATAAGGTAAATTTTGCTCACAATTCATATGCACCCAGTGTAAAACTTTCTCTTGAACAACAATAATTGACTTCGTGCCAGTCTTGAGTTTGTTTCTTTAAGAATTTTTTTAAAAGCTCAGAGTATCCTACAGGAAGTACTCACTGGTTAAAAATAGTCTCATTAACTGTCTATGAAATTAAGAACTTTGAAAAAGCGACGTATAAGGTTAACAAATCCTAAACCTCTGCGCCTCTTCATGCTGTGATACTACACCCGTTCAGCGCGTGTATTCAAGGCCTTCCGAAAAGTTCTTGCAAATCAGGAAATTGTATTTACCTGTAAGGAACTCTGCTTTTGCTTCTCGGTATTCTTCATTTATTATTTTGTAAATTTTAAATTGCACATATCCCGGGTAGAGCTTCGTATCAGTTTTAATTTTTAAAAGGAATTTTTTGAATATTTTAAAAACCGGGAGTTTCATAGTACTCTCCAGATAAGCAAGAGTGTTATATAAATATTTAATAATGGCGTATGGGATTACCAAGTCCAAAACCGCTGCGCCTCCTCGTGTTGTCATACTACACCTCTTCAGCGGGTGTCTTAAAGGCTTTCCGACGTCGAAATGACGCAAATTCAATTATATTCATTCCTCTGGTTCATAACTTCTTAATTATTTCAGTGATCTCTCAATGCAGTGTCCGCTTTATTTCAGTCGTAATGTAGGCGACGTTTCGTCGACGTGACATTTTTTTTTTTTTTTCAGAGCGCCCACGGACGCAACACGACTACGAGGACAGCTTTACGGTCAAGATGTTCCTCTTCACAATCCTCAACACGTACTCTTCGCTCATCTACATTGCGTTTTTTAAAGGAAGGTACGTTTTACAGGACTTTTGCACTACGGGCTAAAAATATGCTGTAGTCTTCTACACGCGCTATCCGGACAACAGCACCACGCGTGGTGGGACACCTGCCGCAAGCAAGCGGAGCGTGAAGGAGCTAATAGGCGACCCTCTTTCGTCCTCCGCTTCTGTTCAATATAGGTCCCAGCATGTGCCTGACGTCTGTGCGGATAACGCGTGGTCTTTAGTTGTGCTATCTAAGGCCCCTGTATTTTTCAAAGGTAGCGCAAACTCCCTTCCCCGCGCTGTTTCCTCCTCGCCCGCCACTCTCAGCCGCCGGGAAGGAGCGGCTCACGCGGAGCGCGCCGCCGGACGCTTTCGTTTTGTCGCGCGGCGCGTTGAAGTAAGGCCCCTAGGGGCCTTACGTTGAAGTGCTTGTTTAAAATGCGCCAATTCTCTGCGTAAATGCACAACGGTGCTCGCAAATACTGTGTAAGAACAACAGTGTGCGATCAGCCAGTGCCTTAGCCATCATCTCGCGTTTTGAGTGGAACCAAATGTACCAAATGCCGCCCTATCGCAATCTGTCTTTGCAGTACTCATCGTCAATTTAATCTGGGGCCTGCTTCACAAGATAGAAAAATCTGGGCTTTGTGTAATTATTCTTGGGTTTATAATCTGCCTTTGCAGTACTCATGGTCGATTAAATCTGTTGACTGCTTCATAAGATAGAAAAATCTGGTCTTCGTGTAATTTTTCTTGGGTTTATAAGTGTGAAACAGCCCCTCAAAAGTTAGTATGAGTGCTCTTAGAGCTCGAGTTTGTACAGGAACAACAGAGCCCTACTGAAATTTAGGACATGCATGCTTGCTTCCATAATGGGACGTGTGTAAACGATTCATCCATAAAATACCACAAACGTTTAGTGGGACGAAGGTAGATTTTATTGAGTGCGCAAATAAAATGCGGAAAGCATCGAATGATCACGAACGCTGCAAAAAATTCCAGTAGAGCAACGACAGGGCGAAACGATTTCGCTATCAAATCAGATAGCCTCTGACTTGATGCTTCTGATCAGAGATAACCTCTGATTTGATGCATGATGCAATTCATGCTTACAGCTGCCAGGAGGTAGCTGTAAGCATGGATTGTAAATACAGAGGCTAGAGGCGTGAACATTTGCCATCACAGTGCAGTTAACTCACAAAATGGGCTGCCACTGATTCAGGGTCGCGGTCTATTGACGTTGCTGTGTTGTCCGAGGAGGCAGCTGTAAGCATGAATTGCGTAAGTACACAGTCTAAAGGCGGGAACATTTGTCATCACAGCGCAGTCCACTCACAAAATAAACTGCCCACTGGTTCAGCGTCCGGGGCCCTCCCCACTGATGTTTCTGGCTCATCCAAGGATACAGCTGTAAGCAAGAGTGGAGCAAGTACAGCGTAGGGGTGGGGATGCTTGCTGCCACAGTAAGACAGAATTGGATGTCGAATTAATCAGGTTCACAGGTCATAAAGATAAATGCAGCAACTATGCTATCTGCCAGCTATCCAAACACACTGTATTGTCATATAAACCCCAAAACATAATCGCATTCACAACACAAGAGAGGAATAGAAACTACAAAGGGGCCTCACCAGGAACCGTTTCATTCCCCCTTTTGCGGGGTGGCTTGCGCGCTTTCGGAAGAGGCCGATGCGCAAATATAGAAGGAACCGCATTTGGCTTGAGTTTCTTGATCCCAGTTTGTGCGACAATTGCTGGCTCATACTGATCCATCGTGAAGTGTTTCTGAAAAATACCGACATCTCTATCGCATTTTTGCAGTTTGGCTGATGTGATATTGCCGCAGCAAAATACTTTGCTTCTTACGTTAAAAATGCAAACAGCCACAAAAACCAGATGATTTTCTTGCATTTAGTAGGTGCCTTTCTCTTTGTTAATCGAAAGTGTACAACTTCGCAAGTATGTTCGAAATTTGAACGAAAGTATCTATGCATTTCACAAATAAACAACTATACAACATTATATTTACCATACACTCTCTTATATTAGCTGTACACGCATGCACAAAATTCGGTCATGGAAGTGCGCAAAAGTAAGATAAATATGAAAGAATACAAACTGAGAACACAATAAACCACAATAAAACAATAAACGCCGAAATTTTGCCTACAGGTAATCAAAGTTCAAGCGAAAAAAAAAGGAAAAACGATCAAAGACGTGGTTGATCTCTGGAGAAGCATAATTGCTTCCGCTGCAAATGGTTCCATTTAGAAAGCAAATCGCGAACGCCAAACATTCAACAGTAATCATGTTGTGGCCGTATTCGAATATTCGAGCAAGCTAAAAACGATCGAGCTGTCATCGTGGTTGAAATCGTGCGAGAAAGCGTCGACGGAAACTTCAAGCTGCTTTTGTTTAACATGAACCTGAACCAAGGATGAGCTTTACCTGAAAGCCTTCCGGAGGCATGTCTACGCGAAGAAGTTCTGTAGTGAGTGCTTACCTCGCAAAGCCTCCCTCGGGGACAATCGAAGTTTTTCCTGCCGATGCGATGCAGCCATACCGCTCTCCACTCCTCATTATTTTTTCTTCGTGGAACCACAAAAAGCTTGTCGCCTTTTGCAATGCTGCTGGAGCAGCCAACGGCACAGCAGGTCGGCATTGCGCTGCATCCGAGGCCGCCTTGCTAAAGGCAACACACGTGGGAGCGAGATGCAGCGCGCTCACTCATGGCGTCGCTGCCCGGCGGAACCGAGGGGTCAACAAGGTTCATTGGTCACGTGTCGCGCCTGGTCCAATAGGGTAGCAGAAACGCGCGCCAGAGTGAGGAGAGACGTAGAGGGTGGGGAGGAAATTCTCCTCCGCTTTTTGTACAATGGTTTGCGCTACCTTTGAAAAATACTGGGGCCTTAGTGCTATCAGCACAGCCGCACCACTCGTGGCGTGACACCTGCAACACGTAAGCGGAGGGCGAAAGAGGGTCGCCTATTCACTCTTTCGCACTCCACTTGCTTGCGGCAGGTGTCCCGCCACGCGCGGTGTGGCTGCGCTGATATCGCGCGTAAAGGCCACGTGCTATCCGCAGAGCCACTCCGCACGCGCTGGGACACCTACTGAGCGGAAGTGGAGGGCGAAAGACGGTCGCCTATTCGCTCCTTCGCACTCCGCTTGCTTGCGGCAGGTGTTCCGCCACGCGTGGTGCGGCTGTGCTGATATCGCGCGTACAGGCCAAGTGATATCCGCACAGCCACCCCACACGTGCTAGGACACCTACTGAACGGAAGTGGAAGGCGAAAGAGAGTTGCCGATCCGCTCTTTCGCCCTCCGCATGATTGCGTCAGGTGTCCCGCCATGCATGGTGCGGTTTTGCGGATAGCGCGTGGGTAGGCCCTAAAAAACAAACTTTGTGGCGATTTCTTATTTCCTCGTGGTCTGAGGCTGAACGAATAAACCAACTATATAACGTATAAAATAACGGCAACGCGGTGTAGGTAGAGAATAGCACGTTCACTCAACCGATAGTTTCATTCACCATTCACAGCTAGGATGACCTGCTGGGTTATAAAGCGAGATTGCAGCTTTGCAGAATTGAAGCGATCCACGACAGGCATTGCCTAAGAACTAATGTAAAAGCAGTAAAATAAAATATCCTTTCATAAGAGTGTTAATTAATCTAATATAACCAGCGTTCATCAATGTGTATACGTAACTTACCGTACGTGGTACTAACACGCACGAGGTAATGTGAAGCTTAGGGTATATGCCGAATGGTGGAAAATGTACACGAGGTCAAACTATGAACCTTTTGCGGCAGGTGTCGTCCCTTAGCATGTCATTCAAATTCCTTTGGAAGCTGTTTTCCCCGGCGCACTTATGAAAAAGTCTTCATGAAAAAGTAACCGAAATTCCGAAAACCAAGAGGCTGATATGGTTATCAACCCTAATTATTAATGCTTTAAGAATGGTTTCAATATCGGCATCCTACGAAGTAACCAAACACATAAGTTGTCGCTAAACCAGTTAAGGCAGTTTTGTTGTCTCAAAAAGATTTAAGAAGCTGTTTTTGTTATTAATAATGTATAATTACTTACTTTAGGAACTAAACTCTTAGCGCATTAAGCATAAACCAAAAACAAGGCAGTGACTGAAGGATGATATCATTATGTGTTTATTCGATAAAATATAATACTAACAAAGGAGTTGAGGCAATGGAAAATAACAATTACGGACAAGTATTGTGAATTGCGCCTGTGCTGTCAAAAGTGTGCCCACCATATCAAACGTGATCTTTAGAGTGATACGTTTATGGTGTAGTCTATTACGACGTGAGGTCTCTGTGGGAAATAGTGATTTGGCGTCAAATGAAATCAAGTGAAGTTAAATATAAGCACTCTACCAATTTATCGTTTTCGGTGTTAAGGGGGATATGGCAATAACAGAAAAATAGTGATCAGGCATCGCCATCGCAAAATTTTCTTACGCTAAAAATGTTCGTTACTGAGCGGCCTGCAACGGGAACAAAAGAGGGGCGTTCAGTGGTCTTATTAATTTATTTTATTGTTTTGTTTATTATATCAGGCTCGCGTCACACCCAGGATACCATGGAACCATTCTAGGATACAGCCTGGATAAGGTGTGTAGGCTTTTTATAAGCTTTTTCATAAAAAGTCATTCAGTTATATTATTTTCTGCGTTGTACGGCTGCATGGTAAACCTTGAGAAAGTGGGTGCACGAGCAGGTCTTCTTTAGTTGTATAACCAACACTGTTTACAGAAGAGCAAGTCTGATGGTTTGATTCTGAAAATTCATTAGAATGTATGTGTCGTAATAATGTATTTATGATATGACATGCAGTGATGTTAGTATAATATTTCAATGGGAGATGGCCGACGAGAAAAAGGAGTGCTTGTGGACACTTGAGTGTTTTATTGCTTGACGCAATATTTTACAATGATTTAGTTTCAATCGTTTTAGACACTTTGCTTTAGAAGCAAAACATATATATACTACGATGGAAAGGAACTCGAGTGAGGAAAAATTATAGTCTCTTGCAATTTGTTATGCAATAAATTTCCACGTTGGAACACACCGCATGTCCATCGTATGATTTACTCTAAGCTCACTATATAAATTGAATCCCGGCTGCGGCGGCTGCATTTTTTATGGAGGCGAAAATGCTGTAGGCTCATGTGCTCAGATTTGGGTGCACGTTATAGAACCCCAGGTGGTGAAAATTTCCGGAGCCCTCCACTACGGCGTCTGTTGTAATCATATGGTGGTTTTGGGACGTTAAACCCCACATATCAATCAATTATCGTGAAGTCGTGACGTCGACGAAGGCAGCAGACTGTAGGTTCAAGATGCAACTGTTTATTGGACTGAACTTGTGGCTGGTGAAAGGAAGGTCGGATTAAAGCACAGCGATACACAGTGGCACTGAAAGGAAGGTTGGATTACAGCACAGCGATACACAGTGGCAGTGATAGTGACGAGCAAAGCATCGGCTATCGATTCACTGACAAACGCTGCCACGCATCGCCGTTTATACATGTGCCGTCGAATAATCCAGCGCTATCGCTAGCGGCCACGTAGGTTCCTGAATTATCTGTAATGATAACGCTGCTCACTTAAACTTAACAAAATTATCTACTACAACCCTGAAGTTTCTCGAACACTGCAGGCGTGGTTTGAGCTGAGAATTACTTACGTTGTAACGGGGCGATAACAAAACTTGAGATACGATTGTGGCAATATGCATTCATTAACTTACTACTTATGCATTACGAGCTAAAACTACAATATCATTATAAGTCACGCTAAAGGGGGGAAGACCGGATTATTTGTGAACTTGTTGAATTTTTATATGCTATTAAAAAGGCTCTAACATTTTTATATTCCCTAACAAGCTGGTTAATTGCTTCAGCAGACAGTGGCGACTACTTTCAGCGCTGCGCAGACTTACACACTGCGGACAGTTGCAGATTGCGGTGATCGCTCACAGCACTTCGGGTTACAGCGCTGTGCAGTGCGCAGATGCTCCGTCTCGAAAATTAATACCCATGCTTCTTTTTTACGTCTGTCCGATCCCCCTTGCAAGTGCAGTGACAAAGTCTTTTTCATTGGCAACAATACGCACTACTGAGCTTGTCAATGGGTCCTTTGCACTGCGAAATGACACCTTGGCCCCTCGGTGACAAAGTTTTGGCCAAGCAGTCCCCATATTTCCATATTTCTGTACCATTTTGTAGAAACCGGTACTAACGAAAACCTCCGACATAAAGGGTCCTCTCTATACTTTCTGCTAGAGGAAGGTTAAATTCCTCAGCAATGCTTCGCTACGGTGGCTAATGCAGCGTCCTCCTTATCACACCGAGCTTCCTTCCCCCGCCGGTATGATACATGCGCACGTGGCAGAAGCCTTGCTCAATCGTTGGCTGTGCCCTGATGCCGTAATCACTGACGTCGTGTTACGTTGCCGAAGTGGGCGTAGCCTACAATGGGCTTCCGCTTCGAGAAAATGGTGAGTCCCTCCGCTTCGAGAAAAGGGTGAGAAGGACGAGTGAAAAACCAAAACCACCCAAAGCGGGTCGTTCTTAAACATTGTAATTTTCTTATTAGAGCCATCATTCGCAAAGTTTTTGAGGCAGCATGATCACATTGTACAGGTGCGTGGTTACGCCCTTTAACATGCGCCTGATTGAAAGTCACAGGACGCGTGTGCATTGTTTTTAACGCTACAGAAACGTTAGTAAGACCTTTGCGGTATTTTACGCCCCTGGTACCGTTTTCATGATAAAGGTAACAAACGTCCACTTTACCTTCAAATCGATAGAACAAAAAATATCGACATCATCTGGCCTGTCTTAATGCATTTTGCCAGTGTTCGCTTCCCATTAACCGTTCCTTGACAGTACTTGAAGCTTCCGTGCCTGCCGGGCTATGGGTGATAACCGACGTCAATATCATGTACAATTGCCCTAAACTGTTACGAAAAATAAAATTGAGTCCACAATCTATAGAAAATGAGAATAACAATGATTTTTCAGATTTCACATCCCACAAACACAGTGAGGGACACCCGTAAGGGGGAAGCTGCGGAAATTTCGAAAACCTGCATTCTTTCAGGTGTTCCTAAATATGAGTACACGAGCTTCTAGCATTTCGGGATTCCATCCCGCCACCTTCAAATCAGCACTAAATCACTATGAACACGTGGCTAAGCACTAGAGTACTTCAACCACCGCTCGTGTCTTTCAGTGCGAAGACGGCTGCCTGTATGAAGTTACCGTCCAGCTGGCAATCGTCATGGTTGGCAAGCAGATCATCAACAACATCAACGAATTCGCACAACTGTAAGATTATCACTCGTTTATTTTTCCAAGCGAACTTTCTTGTGAGTTACGGATTCTGGGGGCGGCATTGATGCACCCGAAAATCCCGGCGTTCGCTATCGCACAGAAATGCCATCCTCAAGGCGCGCCGGTGATATGCGTATTTTTGCTCTTTGTTTTTCAATATATTTCAACAAATGTTCGGCAAAACTTGTGCATATCACTCAGACTCGCTCATTAAGTGTAATTTACACTTAAGCTCACTGAGATTCAAACTTCCCAAAACGTCAATCACCCGGATTCCCTCAGACTCACGGCTAAGTTCGAGTCTGAGCGAGTTCGCCGACCTATGATGAACAGCCATTTCTAAACGGCAATCAGTTACGCTTCACTTCAGTTACGTCTCAGTACCTAAGTTACCTATTCAGCTGACGTCACAACCAACGCAGGCGAATATCGAACCGATGGCGCTCGTGGCAGCGGGACCACGTCAGGCGCAAAGGAGGACTCCGCGCTGGACCGCTGACCCGCTGGGAGGAAGACTACGTGCTGGCAGAGTGGCGGATGCTGTCGCTCTTCGACGAATACCTTGAGATGGGTGCGCACCCTACTGGGGGGATACGATAGCGTGCTTGGTGGCCGCCTCTCATGCGCAATGGCGTCTCTGTGATAGAGCTGTTGAACACTATACTGCCCTATAGAGCGAACGTTTCGACAAGAGCACTCGTCTTGAGACCATTGTGATCTGTTATGCTGTGCGGGCGCCCTTAATATGAATTGCAACATGGAACCGTGTGGCCTCACGAGTTCAAAAGGTTGCGCATGGCTTCAAGTAGTTTTTTTTATTAAATTTCAGGATATAAGTGTTGACTTCTTATTTGGGATCGTACCAAAGTCCAAGAAGCACGTTTAAGTGATAAAAAAGGGGCTAGTGAAAACCATGCGCAATTTCTGAACTCGTGAGGCCATCCGCTTCTTTGTTCCGAGTGATATTGAGCGCGACTGTTCATAAGGCCGTTATACTTGTGCTACGCGATGGAGTACTTTCATTATTTTGTAGTTTATTACCCCAAATTAACTAATGTAGTTGCACATAGTGAAAATTGTGTGATCACAAGTAGGTCCTTTTTTCTTATGTAGATTACAAGCTATGAGGTAACCTTTTCAATTTTTAAAACGAGAAGGCACGTTTAAACATAATTCCATGGCAAACGCTATCACAGAACCAGTGTGAAGCACGGGATTAATACAATGCAATCGACGGAGGAAAAAGAGACGCAGAAAAAGAGGGCTTGGACCGTCCAGTTATCCTACACTCTTAAAAAAAAGTTAGTATAAATGTAGCAACTGCGGGCAAATAGATAGTAACTGCAGTGGTTACTACCTTTCTTCGACCGTTACTACCCTTTTGCTACCTGTTTACTACCTACTTTAGTAAACAGTTACTACTTGCAACCGTTACTAACTTTTTGTGACCTCTTTACTACCTACGTTAGTAAACATTTAGTAAGTGAAATGAGAGAGGTAGTAACTGCAGCCTGCATCCCGGCTGCGGCGGCTGCATTTCCGATGGAGGCGGAAATGTTGTAGGCCCGTGTGCTCAGATTTGGGTGCACGTTAAAGAACCCCAGGTGGTCTAAATTTCCGGAGCCCTCCACTACGGCGTCTCTCATAATCATATAGTGGTTTTGGGACGTTAAAACCCACATATCAATCAAGTAACTGCAGCCTTTACTACCTTTCTTGCCCCGTTACTACCTCTTTGCTACCCGGCTTTTTACCATCTCTTCCAATATAGTATGTAAATGCGATTCTGATAATTTATGAGAGGAATCGTCTCGACGTATAATCATTACACAGAAAAATAAAGCAGAAGGTATCCATAGATCAAGAAAAATACATTTTGTTTCAAATTACGCAACCGAGATATGTAAACGCCGTTCTGATATTG